ACTTGCCGACCGCACTCTGGTGTCACATGTGGAATCTGTCGGTAAGCATTTCTTTTTGTCTTTAGCTTTGCAGACCATTTATTGCAGCACAAAAATACTTATCACACACACACAGCTTATATATAAAATTGCGCATTACGTTTCGTTTAACCCCGCCTGCCGACACAAGATCCCAAACTGTGATAGAAACGATCTCCTGAAATTACAGACCCGTACCAGAACACTCTGGTTCACAATAACCCGCTCTGCTCCATGCCGCACCCTGCAGATGAATCTGAGTCTTTAATGACTGGATCTTGATCCATCCATTAAATTGCTCCTCTGACTGACCCTCTCCCTATGAACGTATGCACAAATCTCATGTTATTAGCTTGGTTCAGATGAAACAAAAGCAAAGCCAGAGCTGGGCTAGCTCCAGGCTTCTGACAGCCTCCTCGTAGTCCTGTGCTGCCAGTCAGGAGTTCTCTGGACTCTGTCCTTGCTGAAAGTTGAAGGGAGGGAAGCCACTGGGACCTAGATCTGAGATCGGGCAGGGAGGACTGGACTCATTACAATGAAAACCCCCTCCGCCACTTCCACTAAAGCTACATAGTTGAACAACAATATAATATTCTAGCTAAAAAAGCTAGCCCAGCTCTGGCTTCAGCTGAGTCTTTCTGACTGGCTCCCAACTGGCAGGAGGTTCTGATCCATTCGGACCAGAACCTCTCACCACATGAACAGTTTTTTTCCCCTCTGCTGTTGGACTCATGAACGACAATCCTAGGACTGCCCACTCCAGTCACTTGGTTTCAGTTCATGACCCGGTGTTGTGTTGTACCTGAACTGGTCCGCTCTGATCGGTACCTACACTGTCCTGTATAAAGCAGCCATTTCTCTAATTATTGCCACTTTATTTTATAATTTTATCATGATCATATTCTTACTTCCTATATTTGCTTATCTCTTATTTTTATCTTTCTTGCAGCAATTTCCTAATGTTGTGTTTTCTGGCACATATGGCAATAAAACCCTTCTGATTCTGAAATTCAGGCTGTTAAGTGTAAAACTGGCTGGTAATGCTGAATCCCACCCACGTCAGTAGCTGGAAGATAAAAAGGTTAGTTTCCTGCTATTTCAAATCAAATGAGCACTGAGTGTTTAATGTCCCCGGCCGTTATAAAGGAATCTACTTGAGCATTAATCATGTTCCAGCAACTGGCAGTCAGAGAAGAGAGAAGTGAACTGCATCTTTAAGCTAATCACAAGTCTCTTTATAATTGCAGGTTGTGCAAAGATGAAGCGCTTCCTGCAGATGCAACTTGTTTAGTGCTCTTCTACCACCCACTAATGTCTGCTCACATCTTGAGTCAGCTGCAGATGCTGCAGACCATTTCTAAATGGCAATCTTGGATGGCTGATCAAGCCTTTCCCAAAAATTCACCCAGCCAGCGACATGCAAGCATGAGATATCAAGGCAGGATGATATTCAGAAGCTGCATATTAACAGGAACAGAGTCAAAAGATGAGCTGATACTCTAAAAAGGTTTAGGGGGACATGATTCTTAGGGATGTCCACATAAAACTGCACTTGTGTGTCTATGTTTTATCAGACGACACTGTATGATTTTTTTACTGTTACCGACCATTCGTAATCAATTTTGTTTGTTGGTGAAAAGAAAACATCAGAAAATGTGAAATGATCAAAGAATAAAATATGCAGTTTAAGTCCAGATCATGTATGATTGAGTTAATGAGTGTTAGAAGAAGATGAGCAGCGACTCCTTGCTCGGGCATCCAGGCTCCCAAAGCAGCTCTTCTCTTCTTTTGTAGCGGCGTTGTCTATTCAGGCTGTCTTCTGATCAATCACGGATCAAATAAATGTTCACATTTTAAACAAATGTAGCAAAAGTATTTATTTGATAAATAGGCCTAAACATTTTTATGGTTGTTTATATTAACTCTGTGTGACACAAACACAAATTTGGTGTTAAGATCGATACTCTGCTAATGCCGATTAATTCATGCTGCTTCTTTAAATTGTGAACTCTGGATGATTTATCTAAGTCAGTAATTGTGGTAAATAATGGTGACTTTGTTATAGACCAAAGTGGTTCTTAAACTACAGGAAATCTGCATAACTATTGAAAAGTTTAACCAGTTGGGTAGAGTGTGGGCTGAGCAAAATCCCTTTAAAAACACCGTAAACCAACCAGAACAGAAAAAGTTGCCTCTTGTGGGAAAAGTGAAATAATTCCAAACAATCAAGCTTAGAGCTAATTCCAGATTAAATTTGTTTTTCTAACTCATATAAAATGCTGTTCAAAAATACCTTATTGTGGATATTTTGTTTTAAAATACATAACAGCAGAGTTTTCTAGAAAAAGTGGCCTTTCTCAGCAAAGCTTCTAAAAAAGCTCTTTTTTCTAAATCTGTACCTCTGACGTAACCAAAGGGAGTTAGAAGCTAGGCGCTGCCTCAGCTCAGTTTGGAGAGTGGCTGGTTTTAGGGTAGAGAGGTCATGTTATCCAGTCAGTGTGTGTTTACTAGTTTTGGATTGTGTTCATTAGATGAACTAGAGTCTGTGAAGGCTGTACCAGCTCCAGCCTGTCTGGACATCGAGTCCACGGGTTTCCAGATAAGAGAAACAACACCTCCATCTCTGTGCCTGAGGGCGTTTTGTGCAGCTGAAAAGACGGACTTCTGTAGCCCGCATCGGTCGGTACCGGGACAGGGAGGTCCACGCTGGGCTCCAGAGACCCGTGGTGGGGTTCAAAAAAATTAATTGTGGATTTCTGGAGCTCAGATCACCGTCAGAGCCAGGTCAGAACCGACCACTGCTTAGCAAGCCAGTAGAGCTGGTGTCTGGGTTGGATCCAGCTCACAGAAGCCCGCCTGAGCTCCAGAACTGGATGACAGGTGTCTCTCTCCCTCTCTAAGCGCTAAACTACGTTACGTGAACGGATATTACCGAGTATGAGACAGCTGACAGACGCCCATTAGTTTATTATTGTCAAGTATTAATATTGTATTAACTGACCAATACTATTGTAATTGTCTGGTACATGATAGTAATCTGTACAATATTGTGATGTTGGCACACGAGTTTAAGCTAACATCGTTAACTCACCTGCTGCTCCCCGCTGCTTCTCCCTAATCTCTCTGCTTTGGCTGATGGTTTCTCCCTCTGGTTTGTCTCTGCCCTCTGGGGCGTGCAGCAAACTCATTACTTTATGGGTCTGGTCCATCAGAAGTAGAATTAAAAACATTTAAAGTTTCCTCTGTGTCAGAGCTGGCATTAGAGTCCATATTTTTCTCTGGATTAAGCTAACAGGACTCCTTCAGCTGACGTCATTTGGTTTGACAAAAAAATTAATTAATAAATTCTCACAAAAATGACTAAAAGCCTAAATAATTTATGTATGTGTAAAAAACTGTTTGAACCAAGTTTCTACTATGTTTCTTTAAACATTGGTTCATAGGAGTCTCTAACGTGCATTTTGCTCTTTAAGAACCGCAAATGCACCTTTGATCAGCTTTCTTTTTGAATGTACTATGAAGTCATTTACCTGCAGAAACATTTAGCTTCATTCTCAGCTGAAAACGTTCAATCAGGCTTGGAAAAAGCTGAAAATAATAATGAAAATATAGAGCAATGCACTCATGGAACACAATTGCGTGTATGTCTGTAGCAACCTAAATGTTTGACCCGTCCGAATATTTTTAACCACGTTTACGTGAACACTGCGGTCCGCTCAGGAAAGCACGCAGTTTTGACTCTAAATTACTGCGACAGAAAGGGTTCCTGGTTTACTTGTTTTCCTTCTGAGACGAGACTAACCAGTCCCATAGAAACTAAAGATAAGTTACACACCGACACATTAAAGAAATACTTTTCATTAAGATGAAACTTTTAAAAAAACTGATAGTGATGCACCATTCCAGAGAAAAAAAAATCCAGTAAAAAAATGTTTTAATCATTACGGAAATGTCAGAAATGTTCCTCTGATCAGCTCCTAACCAGGCGAGCAGATTAAAAAGCAATACGTCATATGTTGTGAGATTATAAAACCTAAAACGTATTATATTTCCTCCTGACCTTAAGAACAATACTGTCTTAAAACCCATTGTCTGATAAGTTCCACCATGCACCTCATACTGATTTCCCTCTCACAGTTAAAATCCAGTTGGGTGTTCAGCAGGTTGTTTGGTTTGCAGCAATGTGTGGGCGGGTGGTGCTTTTCAAAACAGCACCAATGTGAATGTCAGGTTTCAAGGTTTCCTAGCTGAACGTGGTATAGTTGCATCTCCAAGCTTTGGACTTGGCATAGAGACAGGATCATTATTGGGCTTTTATGTAATATTGTTTTGAATAAATGATTTGATCAAATGCTTGTTTATGGAAAACAGGGTGATGTTATGGGGAAGTTTTATAGAAAGCACATTTTTAAAACTGCACCACATCCTACTCACACTTCTAGTTGAGATTAGATAATCCCATTAGGGTGAAGGACGTCATTGACAGGCTTTAAACAGAAGAGTCCTAAAGTGCATTTCCATAAAAGTGAACTGGACTTTTATTTTAACATACAATGGTGGATACGTTTCCAATAAATAGATTACTGCATCGTGTCAATCATCAAGGCTCATTTAACTTGTCGGGATAAATTAGAACATTAAAGGTGCCAGCATAAAGTTAGAATGGCATCCTGTGGTCAAATTTGGGAACAGCAATCACTTTCTCACTGCCCAGGAGACTCTAGACGACAAGCAAAGATGAATCAGACACAGCAAGTTGATAAATTGATAAATGAATGGTCATATCTGGTGCTAGCACTCTGAGTGTTTTACAGCAGAGTGAACTTACTACACTTATTGTGGTAATACGCCTCTGACATTACAGGAAGTGTGGTTGTTTGCCATCCTGCTGTTAGCTTGCTGTTATAGTCCTGAACACAGACGTTTATACGTAGGCGCCCCGTGGACTGGCGCTGCTTATTGGAGCTGCCGTAGTGACTCACCGCTAGAGTTGGGCGTCCTTTGATTTTGAACGATTCCGATTCCAATTCCTTGTTTCGATTCCGGTTTCTATCGATTCCAGATTCCTTCAAGACATGACATGTTTTACATGAGCCAGCTAACCACAGGCCTACTTGATGAAATAATCTTAACTTCAACATGAATTTTAATTCTATGAACAACAATGTCACCTTCATTTAGACAAAAACATGTTTTGGAGAAAAAAAGAAAAAGACTTGCAGCACAACTAGTGTGTTTGTTTCTGACAACAACCAAAGTCTGGAAGAAGCCTCTGGGATGAGAGGCTAAATGTCTCCAACGTATCCAGAAACGTGCAGCTGTTTTCAGCTAAAACTCTCAGGATGATCATGTCCAGGATGACTGAGAACTACACCTCCATGCTGCAGCAGCATTCAGTCAGAACAGAAAGTGAAACTTAAATGTAGCTGCTGTCCATAACAATCTAACAGATTTTAAACATTAAAACTCAACAGAAATAGTTCAGAAAGAAAATTACAATTACCACAACTTTGTGTAATTTATTATCCATCCAGCCATCCATTTTCATCCGCTTATCCACAGTCGGGTCGCGGGGGCAGTAGCCTAAGGCAAGAGGCCCGGACTTCCCTTGCCCCAGCCACTTGGGCCAGCTCCTCCAGGGGAATCCCAAGGCGTTCCCTGGCCAGGTGAGAGACATAGTCCCTCCACCATAACCTTTATGGACAGGATTTCTAGGCGCAGCCAAGGTGTGGAGGGCATCCGTTTTGGTGGCCTGAGGATCAGGTCTCTGCTTTTTGCAGATGATGTGGTCCTGTTGGCTTCATCAGAACGTGATCTTCAGCTTTCGCTGGAGCAGTTCGCAGCTGAGTGTGAAGCAGCTGGGATGAGAATCAGAGACCATGGTCTTGATTTGGAAAAGGGTAGAAAAGGGTAGCCTTCTCCAGGTCAGGGATGAGGTTCTGCCCCAAGTGGAGGAGTTTAAGTATCTCGAGGTCTTGCTCACGAGTGAGGGAAAACTGGAGTGTGAGATCGATAGGTGGATTGGTGCTGCATCTGCAGTGATGCGGGTGTTGTACCGGCCTGTCGTGGTGAAGAGAGAGCGGAGTCAGAAGGCGAAGCTCTCGATTTACTGATCGATCTACGTTCCTACCCTCACCTATGGTCATGAGCTTTGGGTAGTGATGGAAAGAACAAGATTCATTATTATTATTATTATTATTATTATTATTATTATTATTATTTATTGTGGCAGAAGCTGGTGTGGTCCACCACAGAGAAGCTGCTCTAGCATGATGACTTTAATTATTCTACAGGTTATTGTTCAGCCTTCTGACGCTCACGCTCACACACACACACACACACACACACACACGAGTGTTGGTGAGCGGCTGTGTCTGACTGCTGATGCGCCGTGTGTGTTTTTATTTCTGCAGTGAGACAAACTCACCTCACACCGTCCAGAGTTTGTTCTTTAAAGCTTCTCTTAAATCCACCGTGTTGACGTATTTTAACAAGTTCCCTCCAAGCCGCATTTTTGGCTGCAGGTATTAAAGTTTACATTACAGAGTAAAAGTTTGGCAGACGCGTTTGTTTAGATTTGGCTGCTGCGGGTCGGATGGGGGGAGGGGGGTGCTGCACACAGACAGCTGGTGTGATCAGCTCAGAAAAGCATTGATCACAATTTACAGATCACGTTTATTTTTCACAGAGATCAGCCGCAGATTCCTCTTACGGTCAGCATTCTAGGAATCAAAATAAAAAACTGAACGATTCCAGGAAAAACTAACAGTTGGAACCAGTTCTAATCGATGCTCGATGCCCAACCCTACTCGCCACCATCTTGGATGGGTCTCCATGCGCCCCCAGTGTATTTATTTCTACTGAGGAAGGTGCTTACGCAACTAAAAAACACATTTCAACAAGCTAATTTTCTAAATCACACACATGATATTATGGAATAATAAAATATAAATAGAATTCAACTAAATAAATTAAAATATAAAAATTCCTATCAGGTAAGCTAGAAAAGTATTTCAATAGTACGTCAGTTGCAACAGTAGGCTGCACAACAAAACGAGCAAAGTTGTCCACCCTGCGTTGACTTTAGATAGTGAGGAGATCCATCTCATATGACTGCAACAATGTTACACTCTCCAGCGCCCAAAGGGGTGTCTACAGATTCATGTCTATGGTTCTGAATAACCAAGGAAGAAAAATGTCATGATTGATTAATTACTGACTTCACACATACATTTAACTGAAATACTGAGTTGTTGATCATTAAAAAAGTCGCTTGAGATATTTTTAGAGCAGACTATTAGATTTGAATTCAAAGTTAACATTGTTAGCTCAACATTAGCCTCTATCCTGCTTCACCCAATGTTAGAGTAAAATAAAACGATGCCATAGCTTCTTAGGGGTACAAGAAATAACTTCTAGCTCGCTCCAGTTTACTGGCTTTGGTTCTTTAAACAACTCAGGAGCTTTTTGCCTGCCGGTGTTGAATTACAAATGCGCTGCAGCAGGTTCTGCAATCTTGCAAACTCACTAGTTACATGTGCACTGACCAACAACTAAGTCAATCCAGGTCAATCTTATTGTAATAAGATGGGAGTCTTTATCCAAGTTTACATGTGCATTAGAAAACCGGCATCTCAAATAAAGTTTGTTCTAGGGCTGAATGATTTTGGAAAAGAATCTAATTGCATTTTTTCTTCAATATTGCAATTGTGATTTAATTTACAATTATTTTCTCGAGGAGCTTTTCTCATATTTTTCAACTAAGAGAAGCAAAAAAAAAAGTATCTAACTTGTACTGAATATAAACAAGTTTGTGTATCTACATATTTATCTACATATTATATCAACAAGTTTATTTGTCTACATAAACATAAACCCTCACAAGTAAAGACATTTGAAGGATATGCTTTGCAGTAAGGAGCACATCCCTTGAAGGAGCATGGGTATTAGCATCAACTGTGAAAATGTACTCGCAGGAAAGAAGTGTGTCCCATTTATTGAAGTCTTTTGTGTTTAGAGTTTTTGACATCTTGTCCATGCAGAGCTTCCGTAGTTCAGTTGCATCCATAAGTGCTAGCCAAAACGCAGTGGAGTTAAAGCCTCTTACGGTTTTCTAGCTTTACTAAAATATCTGTCTGTACTTTTTTGATTAATGGCAGATTTGAATTTTTATTAGACTCTAAATGTAATAATTTGGTACCTTCCTAATTTGTAATTTGTAAGAATATAATTGGTGATATTAGCATTGGCATCCCTATGGGGTTTTCCAAGTATATTAGCATTGTGCTAACCACTCGCTGCCAGTCAAATCGCAGCCTTTGCGATTAGAAAATCTCTTTTTGTCATATTGCAATGTAATTGCATATGCAATCAATCATTCAGCCCTAGTTTGTTCAACTCCGGTACAGAAGGTGGTGACATGCATCTTTTCATTTCGGCATTCTTCCAGTTAGCTTATAGGACCACAAGCAGTAAACAGTGGCCCAATCTTAGTACTCGCACTTGCACCCTTGCGCCCTTCATTTGTGCGTTCCCAGCCAGGGCTGCGAGTGCATAGGGTGTCCCGATTCTCAAGTGTGGAAGTTGGCCACGCCCCCATTGCACCCTTAATCTGCACTTCACACAAGTCTGTAGCGATGCGGACCAAGGGCGATGCAGACCTCGGGCAAGGGTATTACCCACAAGTCATTGCTGCGGTAGAAAAGGCTCAAGTTCCTTTTCTGAAAATATGTATTTTCTAATTAAATTAGTTCATTTTAGGACGATTAGGTGGCGCTCTGAATGTTTTAGACAAAACAGCAATGAAGTGAAATTTATTTCAAATAATTGTTTTGTTGTTTGAAAGTTGTTAATAAAGGTTTTTGAAAAGTTTCACAGCGACCAGCATCCCGGCATGCATTACAAATGATGACGTAATGCTCTCTGTCTCAATTCGGCAATTATTTTCACACTTGTGTACTACGCACACGAACCCTACTGCACACTTGATCCAAGTGCACTTTGCTGAAGTCCGCAGGGCGCAGTGTGAGTATTGAGATTGGGCCAGTGACTAGAAAGAGGGAAGCAGACAGAATTGTAACAGGAAATGCAATATAGCTGAAGAAATGGACAACAATGCTTATTTGGTACGTACTGTACTGTTTGAAGGTGTTACGCATGTTACTTTGTGGCAGTGATATTATCAGACTGCTTCCGTGGTCTCGTCACTTCCGGAACACGAGCTTTCTACCGGTTTAGTTCAGCTGACCAGTTTACATGCAGAATGTATTAGGATTGCTACCGCATTATCTGGGTGCTTCAGCTCGATTAGAACCAGTTCGCCTTCAGCCAGACTAACGCGTTTACATGAAAAAAAAACAACGCAACTCATTTTTAGGTAGTACTTAGATTTTCTGATGCGCATGTAAATGCACCGACTGACTGTAAATGGTGACTACTACATCCCTCTTTATTTATTGTTTCTTTGAAAGAAGAAAAACTGACAACCCCAACCGGCTGGAAATTAAATCTGTTTCAGTGTAAACCTTCCTTCTAACATGATTGAGACATTAGACTGTTTTGTGATCATTTCATTGTAGATTTCTTACATATTGCTCCTTTAAGAATAAAATCTCCTGTCAGCATCGACTTTCAATGCTGAAGATGTAGTCAGGTTAAGGTGATAAATGACTCAGGTGATGATGACACTGAGGTTGGATCTGCACCGCACGGTGCTCCTCTGGGGAAGCTCCTGTCTGATGCAGAAACATAACCAGGAAGTGGAGGACACTCTCGTCTCTGCTTTCAGCATAGCTGCAAGGACCTGCCAGGCCGGTGGCAGATTCCTGCTGCATGTCAGAGGTAAAGAATGCAATTGACACTTATACTTTATCCTAGACCCCTAAAGCACGCTCTTCCAGTCTGGTTTTAAATAAGAAAGTAAAAGCTTCAAGACACTGACTCTAGATTACATCTTGTCAGTGCATCGTCTCAGTCAGACGTGTTTTTTCATTGTTCTCGTTTGACGTTTCCTTAACAATTAGCTACAGCTGATTTGCACACATTTAGATTAGCAGATTGCTTTGTGCAAAGTCACAATGATTGGCAGATAGTTTATTGTGGTGACGAGAAGCTGGGCAAGCCTTGGCTCACACACGCAGCTCAGAAATAAACAAACATAGGCAGCTCGTCTACTCAGACCAACAATGCACTTAAAAATGTCAGTTAACTAACTTAGACTTTCATTTTAAAAGCATTTAATAATCCAAAGAGTTGTACTACTGTGGCTAATACTTTTAAATAGGGCTGCTCAATTAATCGAATTTTAATCACGATTACGATCTGAGTTTTGAACGATTATAAAAAACAAAACAAGCCGATTATTTGCTCCTCCCGCTTGCGCTGCCCTGAGTTGCAAATGAAGCGCTCCTCCACAGTGTTGCCAACTTAGCGACTTTGACGCTATTTCTAGCAGCTTTTCAGACCCTTTTCTTGACTTTTTAATCATAAAAGTACCTAGCGAACATCTCAGAAACATCTCTGGGAACCCTTAGCTACTTTCTGGATAACGGTCGTCGACATTTCCTGCAGGTTAGCTAAACACGCCGCCTGCACTCCGGACCGTTCTTCAGGACATTAGGAAAGGGAATGATGTAGTGATGTGTCGGTCGCTAAAGACAGCTCTCGGAGCCGGCTCCTTGTTGGATTAACCAGAGTGAGTGACACACACCGTACCTGCGGGCTCCTGAGCAGCTAAAAACAGCTAAATGTGCGCGTGCGGCGTGCTAAACACACGTGCAGCTTGCCCGATTGCTGTGAGACCGGGGTGGAGGGTGGGGGGTGCAGCTGTGGTTGGGACAATTATTACATTAACTGATGGACCTGTAAATAAATGGTTTATAAATAAGGTAGAAATAAGTTCCTCACGCTGATAACTAATAACTAATCTCTCTGAGGACACGGTGCTAGTGCACTCTCCTACAGCACCTTGACACGACTCAATAAATGTTATGCAACATTTTGTGAACATCAATTTATTTGCATTTATTTGTTATAAATGCCACTGTATAATTCTTGCTGTCAGTATTTGCAAGGTATTGGTATTTGGGTCTGTACTGGTTAGACTTAAATGAGTTAAACCAAGGTCTATAGCCCTTGGGTTATAAACCATGAGCTATAAGTATATTGGTCTTTTTATCCTGGGAATCAGGAGTTATTTTAGTGATCATCTTGATTCTTATTTTTGTCCTGATTGTGCCCTGAGCAATTTTATGACTGAATAAAAACAAATAAAATCAACATAAATTGAAAAATCGTCCTAAATAATCGTGATCTCAATTTCAGTCACCATAATCGTGATTATTATTTTTGCCATAATCGAGCAGCCCTACTTTTAAATACTAAAATTCCTCCAAATTTAATTCCCTAAAAAATGTCTTAATGCTCAGTATTTATTGTTGTTCAAAAAAGACTTGAATCCTCTCTATATGAATGACAACAACTCTGTACCACACTAGAGGTGTGATAAATGAAAGTCCGATGTGGCCGGCATCTGGAAAAATAAAACACTCTTAAGTCCAAAGGTCTCTTAAGGCTCAGTCCAGATAAGTTTCTGGCTACTGAGAGCTTCAAAGTGCAAAACGGATCAAGCAATCAAGCCATTGGAAGATAACCAAACAGTACACTCCCATCTTCTACCATGTAGTACAAAGGACAGCTTCCACCAAACATCAGAGCCCTTCTTATCTAAACAAGCTGGACAAGATGAAGGCAGATAGTGGAATCCCATGAGGCAAAAAGCAGAAATGCATCAGGAGTTGCATCGTTCTTTTTTCATGTTACTCCCTTCTATTCTGATTTTGCTATGAAGTACCTCTTGGAAACGGTGCATTCACTGACAGAAAAAAAGGAAATGAATCTCTAATCTCAACATTATGAAATCCAACTGGACTCAGAGCGAAGAGGAGAGACCAGGAAGCAAATTTTAAAATGGTGTGCAGGTGTTTCTGGGACAGATTGCAGGGGTGCCCAATCCTGGTCCTGGAGGGCCGGTATCCAGCAGGTTTTAGTTTTAACCCTTTTTAAACACACCAGAATTCAATCAGCAGGTCATTAACAGGCTTCTGTAGAGCCTGATGAACTGTTGCACAGGTTATTCAACCACTGAATCAAGTGTGTTGGAGCAGAGAAACCACTAAACCTGCTGGATACCGGCCCTCCACCACCAGGATTGGGCACCTCTGGATTAAAGGATCAAGAGTGGCTGTCATCATCCTTATGGGCAATGCAGACAATCTGAAGATGGTTTCTGCATAAACGTGTCAGTAACTAACTACATTTCTATCTGATTGGTGTCTTTTTGAAGAGTTTTCCTCCTACAGAACTGATGAAACCAAAGTGTGATGCTGCTGCTTCAAAACAGCTCCAATCTCCAAAAGGAGACGTTCAAACGTCATTTTCCAAACCTTAAATTACAAGCCACACCAATGTTGCATTAAATAGCCATCTACATGAAATTACTGAGATGTGCAAATATCACCAGCAGCATCTATGTGAAGTAAAAATAACGTCAGAATTAGAAATGGAGCCACTCTTTATCCTTTAAGCAGCACCCATTCCCTCAGGAATGCCAAATCTTGGAGCTAAAGCCAAAATTATTCACCTGAACTTTCAATTGGATGCTGCTTTTAATCAGTAAAAGTGAGCGACGCTCATGAATCAGAGCTGTTTATGGAGCAAGTCCTCTCTGACCCCTTTGACCTCCCACACACACTCAATCAACAAGCTCCTCTGTGAGCTCTCACAGGAAACATCAGACCCAATGTTTTACTCACACAAGATCAAAGGTACTATTTAAAGAAGAAGGCCTTTAGAAACTTACAATAAGCTTCAGACTGCCAGCTGTCTGGAGCACTGACCACATTCACGCCGGAGGCAGGGATGAGGCTTGTGGAGGGCTACGGTGAGACTACCTAGCATGATGGAACCCAAATCCTGCCTGGGACTATTTTTATCGTCTGTGTGGGTGTAGCTGTGCTGACTCGATGCCCCTCTCTTCTCTTTTGTGTATTGATTCAGAGCTGTTACACAAGAACGCTGCCCCTTCCTCATCCTCTCAGATACACACCCACACCTCCACCTCTCTGCCTACACACACTTCCAGCAAACATGAACTCTTTAGTGGAGGAACCTTCCACGCAGTGAAGCCATGTTCATAGATCTCCACTCACCCCATGTCTCTGAGCTTGTTCGTTCAGGGCCTTCACCCAGGTCCTCTGCCAGTGCTCCTTGAAGGACTTGAAGGAGAACAGAGAGGTCAGCAAGCCTTTAACTCCGGCCTCAGATGCAGGTCTCCCATCCTTCCCAGAGCGGAGCTTCAGCAGGAAGCCCCACACCCCTCCAGCATGGCTCTGGAGGGGGTGTGTGAGGAGGACCTGCTGTTTCTTCTGCCATGTTGTCTCTTTGGATGATTTTCTGGATTTCCACTGCTGCAGTAAAGTCCAGGAATGCTGGATCAGCCACCTAAGCACAATGAGCAAGGAGGCTAAGAAGAGAGCCACCATAGAGAGCCAGCTAAACTCCTGGAACTCCATCAGCGCCTCCTGGAGCCTCTCATATCACCAGGTCCAGATGGTCCAGATGGAAGTAAGAGCAGCTCAGCCCTCTTCAGCCTGTGAATGTCAGCACACAAATGGTCAGGCTGGTTGTTGTTATTATTGTTACACATAACGCATGCATGATGGAGACTGGAATCAGGGTAACTCTGATGTGGTTGCGTTCCGTGAAGCGCTGCAGAAAAGCGATGAAACAAAAACTGCGTTAACGATTACATAAAACTAAAGAGATGCGGAATGGGAGCTGCTTTATAGCGCAGGTTATATGAAGCAGCCAAATCATCGACAGCAGAATCACACCAACCTGAAGTTTAATTTAAAGCGTCTGAGCTGCAGACTCCAGGTAACCGAAAGCGAAGAAGCTGGCATGGCGACATGGAGCGCTTCGAGAACCAAACGTAAGTCCCATTTCCCTGACCGTCACAAGCGCTTTTATTTGCGACTTTCCGCTTTCAGGTTTCGACACAAAAACACACCTTCTGCTCTCTGCGAGAGGACTACAGGCTCCGAAGGGTTTCGAATCTGTGCTGTTGGTTCCCTTCTGCCGCTAACGATGACGATTTGACATGGCTACCGCCTCCAGGTGGCGCTGTGGGACAGGAAGTTAGGAAGAAAAACGGAAACAAGAGGCAGATGCTTCAAAATAAGAGCATTTCTAAAGTAATTTCAAAATTAGTATAAAATATTTTGGATTTGAATGCTGACTGCTGAAAAACACAGGTGAAGTGAAAGTGGAAAACAAAAAAAAATCCGAAAAAAATAAGGGGAACAAAGAAAATATTTACTTCCACATTGTTTCACAACCTTATCCATAATGCTAACAGTGTAGAGCTACTGTTGTTTATATTTGTGTCTGGTCTTGTTCCTTTTCTTTTTTCATTCTTGAACACTTTTGTCCACTGACCTCATGTCTGTCAAGACAATCCAAAAATGGGAAAAGAGGTGGAGCTGAGGGTGGAGCTGTTACGTTTGGAACAGGGTTGAAACAAATGAAATGGTAGGAGCTCAGCATTAAGTATTTTTTCTTCTTTCTCATCTTTTTCACGTGGTGAGCGATATTCTATCTATAGTTCATGTTGAATGTTAACATTTGTTTTGGTTCTTTAAATGTTAGGGGTTTAAGAGAATCTGTTAAAAGAAAAGCCTTATTTTTGTACTGCAAAGGTAAAAAATCAAACTGCATATTCCTACAAGAGACTCATTCATCTGATAGTGATGTATCTTTTTGGTCAAACCAATGGGGCAGCAAAATCTTGTTTAGCCATGGCTCAACAAGGTCGGGGGGTGTAGCAATTTTATTCAATAACTTTCCTGGGGATCTTGTAATACAACGAACTGACTTGAATGGTCATTGGTTGATCGCTGTAATGAGAGTTGAAAGTTTGTTTTTCATTTTAGTCAATGTTTACGGATATAACAATGAAAGTCAGAATAAAAATATGTTAGAAGATATAACTTTAAATATTTCCGAACTTAAAGATCGATACCTTACGGAATATATTTTAATGGGTGGTGATTGGAATATGACTCCTGATGAATGGACTGATAGATGGCCCTCAAGGACAGGTAGACCACAAAGAAATAACTTAATTATAGAATTTTTGATAAACAACAATTTGACAGATATTTGGAGAGTAAGAAATCCGGAAATGAAAAGTTTTTCCTGGTTTAAGCCAAATGGAACATGTAAATCTAGAATAGACTATTGGCTAGGAAGTGGCAACATTCTTAACCACACTGTAAATGCTGTGATGTCAAATGCACCTCTTTCTGATCATTGCTTTATTGAACTATGCTTAAAATCGGAAATTAGACAATCAAATAAAAGAACTTATTGGAAGTTCAATGCCAAACTTTTACAAAATGAAGATTACTGCAACATAGTCAAAAAAATTATAAAAGATATTATGGCTGACCGTTTAATTGTAGGATATATCAGTAAATGGGAATTCATTAAATTCAAGATTAGAGAATTTACTATTCAATTCAGTAAAAATATAAGTCGAAAGCAAAGAGAATATGAATGTAAATTATTCCAAGAAATTACTTATTACTGTAGTAAGGATGATCTAGATAGCCAAGAAAAGAGTAAACTTATGGAGTTGCAAACTAAATTAGATCAGCTCTACTTAAATAAAGCAGAAGGAGCTTTTGTGCGTTCACGCGCTAAATGGATAGAGGAGGGGGAAAAAAATTCCTCATATTTTTTTAATTTAGAAAAGAGCAGACAGAAAAGAAATCTTATATCTTCCCTGTTAATTGATGGTATTGAATGTGACGACCCTAAAATCTTGGAAAACGAAACTTATACATTCTATTCTAATTTATACTCCTCACAGTTCTCTCAAGCAGACTGTGATGCCTTTTTTGAACAAATAGATAATCTGATCCCCAAAATTAATGAATCATTTAAGGAAATTTGTGAATCTGACCTTAAAATTGAAGAATTAGATGCATCGATTAAGAAAATGGCGCTTAATAAATCCCCTGGTCCAGATGGGCTTACAGTTAATTTCTTCCAATTTTTTTGGGAAGACTTAAGGGAAATCTTATTCAAAGCTATACTGGCCAGTATTGAAAAGGGAGAATTGATGCCTAGCATGAAACAAGGATTAATTACATTAATTCCTAAACCAACCAAAGATAAGCGACAATTGGATAACTTAAGGCCTATAACGTTACTAAATACAGATTATAAAATTTTCTCTAGCTCAATTGCAACAAGGCTTAAACAAGGGGTTTCAAGTATAATTAGTGAGACACAATCAGGGTTTTTGAAAGACAGGAACATTCATAATAATATCAGATTGGTTTTAGACTTACTGGACTACAATGATCTAATTAGAGATGACAGTTTTATTCTTTTCTTGGACTTTTATAAAGCTTTCGATTCAGTAGAACATCCTTTTATTTTAGAAACACTAACTCGATTTGGATTTGGGAATAAATTTAGGAAGATAATAGATATACTATATAATGATATAAATAGCTCTGTGTCGTTAGGCCATGACACTGGTAAAAGATTTAGCATTAAAAGAGGAATTAGACAAGGATGTGGAAGCTCTCCGCTGTTATTCATAATGGTTGTGGAGATGCTCGCAATTTTAATTAAAAATAGCAATGTGGCCGGAATTGAGATTATAGATAATTCGTTAATAATTAGTCAACTTGCAGATGACACTACTCTTTTCTTAAAAAATGAACATCAAATTCCCCTAGTAAAACAAATAATAACTACATTCTCAAAAGCTTCAGGCTTAAAATTAAATTTAAATAAATGTGAACTATTGGCGTTAAAGGAATGTCAGGCACAGTTTTTGTACGATATACAGGTGAAAAAGGAAGTAAAATATCTGGGCATCACAATTTCAAAAGATCACAAAGTGATGGAAAAAGTAAATATTTCAGATAATGTTGACAAATGTAAGACAATCTTAAATAACTGGTTACAAAGAGACATCACAATTTTTGGAAGAATATTATTAACCAAAATGGATAGTTTATCTAGATTTATATATCCAGCTTACTCTTTATCAATATCAAATAAAATCATTAAAACAATTAATAGCTTAAATTTTAACTTTATTTGGAGAAATAAATGCCATTATATATCTAAAGATGATTTGGTTAAACCATACATTGAAGGTGGGGGAAACGCAATTGACTTTGATGTAATGAATGGTGTTTTGAAAGTGAAATGGTTAAAATCCTTCCTAAATAATCCACACTCCATCTGGTTTTCTATACCAAGTAAGGTCTTTAACAAACTGGGAGGTATCGATTTTCTTCTAAAATGTGACTTTGAAATTACTAGGCTACCTATTAAACTTTCTGCATTTCATAAACAGGTCCTTCTTTATTGGAAAATGTTATTTAAACATAACTTCACTCCACATAATAGCCCAATTTGGAACAATAGATATATCCTAATGAACAGAAAATCTATTTTTATCCAAGATTGGCTTTCCAAAGGTGTTTGGGCAATTGCCCATTTTGTAGATAATGAAGGACATGTTCTAGAACATCAAGATTTTTGTCAAAAGTTTAATATCCAATGTTCTAAAAATAAATTTAATCGGGTTATAAGATCAATTCCACTGTCACTCAAAAACATAGTTGTAAATGATATAATATATTCTGGCATCTCCCCCAGGTTAAGACAATTATTTATAGAAGATATTCGATTTTGTGATGATAAATGCAATAATAAGTTTCTAAGATCTTCATTAAGGAATCTCTTCTATCCAAACTTACTTAGACGTAATTACATATTAAAAGATTTCCAAAGGGAAGAAATTGAAAAAATAAGAAGTGATTATATCACCTTCCCTATCGCTCCTAAAGGGAAAGAAGTCCAATTTAAAATTTTGAATAAAATTTACCCAACCAATAGACTCCTTGGGGATAGATTCAATATAGAAGCTGGTAATTGTGTATTTTGTGAAACAGAAGAGGAGGACTTAGACCATCTATTTTTTTTGTGCAATTTTATACAAATATTTTGGTTAGATTTTCATGCCTGGCTTTGTTCTAGTGGGATTCAAATTTCCCCATTTACCTTAAATATGATAATGTTTGGAGTGTTTTTGAAAGAAAAGAAAGTTAGTTATGGTGTTAATGTGTTATTAATTTTATGTAAACAGTTTATACATAAATGTCGATTTTTTAAGACCAAACCAACACTAGCCTATTGGAGAAATGACTTAAAATTATTATTTAAATCTTTGAATTTAGTTAAAAAGAAAAAGGCTGGTTTGTTTATTTCCTTTGTAGAAGATTTTGAGTTAGTAAGTCAATAATCTATTACTTAGATGACCCCAGCTTTAGATGTTCTTTTTCTATTGTTTTCTTTTTCATATACGTGAAAATGTTGAACATGTATGCATGTAATGATTATCTTTTGAATATATAATGTAAGGTGCATTTTGTTTGTATGTTACCTTTTCTAATTAAAAAAAAAAAAAAAAAAAATGAAATGGTGTAGCTACTAGCTTACTTAGCTAACTCCAGAAGCTAAGGGCCTTGATATACTTGCTGTTTGACACAGGCAGCAGGCTGCGTCTTTATTCACATACTTGCTGCTGTATATCACTGCACTGCACGTAGTACTGGGGTGTTCCAGGGGTGCATTAAACTGCTCAGACCAGACAGAGGGCCAGGTTTGCGGGTACAACCAAAACGAACATGACATCAATAAAAGAGATCAGTAACTGGTTAAATTTTAGTTCATGATAGAAAAAGAGACAGCAGTGATATCAAAGATGGTATAAAAAACCTCTAAACCAGAGATGGAGTCACCATGGTGAGCGCATCTCACTTGTTTTGTCGACTTCACCTACTGGTTACTCATATATTGCAGCGTTCGGACGTGCCGCATTAATTTCAGGGGACGCGCACAAACAACGCTTCGAATCAATGCAAGTAGCAAGTGGCAGCCATTTTAAACATGCATTCGTGTCGTCAAACAGCAAGTATATCACTGCCCTAAGAAGGGCTCTGGGGACTGGGGCAGCCCACTCGCAAAGCCCACTGGCTCCTGTTCGAGGGTGTAGTCATGCTGGTCGCCTGTCGAGATCTGGACCGGGACTGTTAAATTACAAGCAGAACCTCAGACCGCTGTGATCGTAGCCGGGCGTCATGGCTTTTTATATCAGCTCATGCTCCACGGTCGGAGATCAGCAGGACATTCGCTGCATGCTAACCCAAAACTAACCAAGTATTTTGAGCGTTATCAGCATGACAAACATGGTAGAGTGACACCAAAGTGAAGGCCTAGTAATAAGTAGGTAAGCTGACAGATGATATTTTGCTTTGCTGGCCCACCGCGGTCAAAGATCCGCAAGTACGTCATTGTAGATTGTCCCAGCCCTGAGCCAGGAGTCGAATGACTAGGTGGTGTTATAGTAAACATGTAGAATTTCGCCCCATTCAACCAGCAAACTGTTAGTGAGAAAAATGCGGTTGAGCAACTCAAAAGTGAAGCAACGTCAACTTAAAGAGCTGTAATTGCTAGACATGAATGGACAATGAAGAGCAAATAATGTATTGTAAATAATTAATTGTATTGTAAAGAATTATTATATTGTATTTTTCAAATAATTTTGAGTTATCAGAACTGAATTTGGGGAACCCCTGAGAAAAGTTAGGCCAAGAAGAGCATTGATAGCCTGGGTAGAAGTTTTTTTTTATTTTCAGTTGCTACCTGCTTTGGCTAAACTAAGTCTTTTCTACATCTGTTTTAGGTCTGTACGAACGTGGTACCAACGATGGACATCAGGAGCTTCTTTCAACGAAAAAACTCAGGTAATTTTTTTCATATATATTCAGTTTAATATATTTGTGTGCAAAACGAAAGGATATTTATTAGATCACTATATTTACTTTACTTTAAATTTGAACAACCAAAGATAAATAGCATTTCAAATAAAGAAAAGTGAATGAACAAATTCATTTTCTGGCTGAGACATCAATGAGAACTTGAAGAGGGCACTATATTTTAAACATTTTTTTTGCATCTCCTTTGCAATTTGTTGCCCAATTGCTGTGGCATTCTCTATGAGAAGTTTTGTGACACTGCAGATGGTACATCTTAGGAGACAAGCATCAGTAATTAATAAAATACAAGTTATTGTTTTGTATATTAGCTTTAAGACCTGCTGAACAGGTTAGTGATGACCTATGGAAAAAGTTCTGGCCACCCTAAACCCTAATAATATGTGAAGTTGTTGTTTCTTAACTAGCTGAATTTGCATTTGAATCATGTTCCTCCCTAATCCATGATTCAGATAGAGAAAGATGTGAATTAGAGTGAAACTTTATGTCCTCGTGTTTTCTATAGGTGAACACCTACTTTAAATAGAGTAGATGGCCCCCAGTTTCACCCCTCTAATGTCTAAAAGTTTACATGTAATTAACACCTTCCTTTATCTGATCCAAGCACAATATGGCCTGACGAGATCAACAACTCCTTCAGTGGGTAGGGAAGAGTGTAATTCAAATGAAGTTTCAGACAATTAAACGGCTCTATAGAGTATCCAAGCTAGAACATTCCAGTTTGATCTGACAAAGGTGACAACTGAAATGTTTTCAAGGTTCAACAGACCAACGTTGTGTAGTTGTTTTAGTTCAGCTAAGGTAAAAACAAGCCCCTCTTACTCCGTGTTAAATGGAGTATAAAAAAAGAATTCTAGGCGTATACATACTGTGGTTCTTTCACATAATTCTAAAACAATTACTTTTTTCTGATTTTTCAGATGAGTCAAGAGAAATTGAGGAGGAAAGGACACACCAAACAGTCTCGTGGCTGAAGCCTTCAAAACGAAAACGATCAGAATCAGAGGTGGACTCCCAGGATGATAACTCCCACAGCCAGCATAATGTTGCAGCCGGTCAGAGTGAGACGCAAGCTTATGAATGCAGCAGCAGTGACAGTGCTGAGGTTTCCACGACTACTGTTGATTATGCTAATGACACATCCGCTGACAAGAACAATGACTTTGAGCAACAGTGGCCAGAATGTTGGTCCCAAGCACAGATACACTATTTCTCCACAACGTATAGGTGGCTAATCAGCAAAAATAAAAAGTTGGGCTGTAGTACTTGTAGCCACATAAATGCACGCATGGATATGCAGCAAGGACAGAGAGTGTCACCGGAGTGGAGTCGGTGCTTAGTTTCTTCATTTGGAAAGGACAAGGCTGCACAAAACAACTCGCTGCGAAAGAAAATTAAAGAACACAAAGACTCAAAATTTCACAAGAAAGCAGTTGAGATAAAAGAGAGGGCAGCAGACAACACTATGAAAAAACACATTGAGGACATGCAAAAGGCTGATTATAATTCCACTTGTAATGTGTTTAGAACAGCATACAAGACTGGCAAGCACGTGCGTCCCTTCACAGATATGCCAGTTGATGTCCAACTGCAAGTTTTAAATGGAGTGAATATGGGCCGAGTTTTGCACTCAAATAACACGTGTGCACACATACTGGATCACATTGCAGCTGCAATGAAAGAGAAAATAGTTAATGAGATTGTGATGAATCGTAGAAAACTGTGTGTGCTCATTGATGAGTCCACTACAATAAGTGGAAAGTTTGTGTTAGTCGTGTGCCTTCGCGCAGCTATAGCAGGTAGAGCCAGATACTATATTTTTTGAACTGATTGAGCTGCAGGACACTTCAGCAAAGGAAATAACTGATGCACTATGTCTTCAAAAAAAGGCTTTGACCCTTGTTTTTTACAGGACTATTTGTTGGCCTTCGCTTGTGACGGAGCATCAGTGATGCTTGGGAGGAAAGCAAGAGTCGCTGCACAGCTTTGTTGCAAATTCCCTAACTTTTGTCTGGCATTGTTCTAACCACAGACTGGAACTGGCAGTATGTGATGTTTTGAAGGAGGTTGGGGGAATCGATCACTTCAATTTTTTTTTAGATCAGCTGTACTCCCTCTACCATGCATGCCCAAAAAAATCAAAGAGAATTAACTGAGAGTGTGTTGGACAGTGTCTTCTTGTGATTGGATGTGTTTTATCAGTGTGTTGGGTTGCTTCAAGTGAGAGAACAGTGAAAGCAGTATGGGAAAACTATCAAGCTCTGCAGATGCACTTCAAAAGTGCTGCTGCTGATACCAACAGGAATTCATGCGAGAGAGCAAAATACAAAGGACTTAATGACGTTCTTACTTCTGTCTCCTTTGTGGCCAATCTTAGTGTCATGTATGATGCTCTCACAGAACTCCGTGACCTCTCAAGAATGCTCCAGAGACGAGACGTGACATTGGACCAAGCCGACAGGTTGCTAGCCCGGCAAATCCGTGTCTTTGAGTCAATGGTGTCCACACCTGGTTCACAAACACAAGTGGCAATCGAAGCAGAAGAGAAGAAAATCTTCAGAAATGTAAAGCTGCATGAAAATCAAAGGGTTCCAAAAATCAATCCCGCACAGTTTTTCCGTAGCCTGGCTGTAAATGTGCAGGATGACTCCCAACAACTTCCTCACATGTCAGCAGAACCTCGTCTGTAAAGACAGACAGTCTACTCCTCAACGATGTCCAGGTCCTCCAGTCTGACTCCTGGCCTGCAACACCAGATATTCGGAACGGCGTTGCGGAGGTCAGACGTTTATGTGAGAGATTCAAAATTGAGGAAAGGGAAAGTGTCTTAGGATTTAGGGAGTATAAAGACCTAAAAGCTTACAAAATACCAGCAGCCCTGAAGCCTCTTCTTAAAGCTGTCCACACCATTGCAGCATCAACAAGTGAATGTGAACGAGCTTTCAGTTCAATGAATGACACTCTCACTGATAAAAGAAACTCACCTCACATCAAAAGGCTTTCAAATCTGATTTTCCTCAAATGCAACGGACCACCATTGGATCAATTTAATGCAAAAAAGTTATGTGAGGTCATGGCTGGCAACAGGGAGAAGGAGTGCAACATGTACATCCTGTGAAGCCCCTAGTGCTAACAAAGTGAACCCCAAGGCCTGCTGGAGCCTTTTCTGAAATGACTTGGACAATGGTTGTGTCAGGTTTAAGCACCTAAGACACCATATAACAACACAACACAAGGAAAGAGACACAAAAGTCAGAATTCTGCTCGAGGAGAATGGAATAAGGCCACACCAACCCAGTCTCCACTGAGCTGACAGTTCCTCAAACCATTCTGGCCTTTGGAATCCGAGCACCTCTATTTGTTACAAGTTGGGAGCTTCCCTAGATACATGCCTGAAGAGCTGATCTAAAGGGTGGGGGGGAACGCAGCTCTCAGTCTTAAACTGTTACAAGTTTAAAACAAAGAGCATTCATTATTACACAAAGAACTTTCAGTGTCTAATCACACGATGAGTAGCAAACAGTTTGCACGAGTCAGCAATTGACAGAACAGCAGATCTCCACAGGTCATCATCCTCAGGTCACATTAGGTCAGATTTTAACACCCATAGACTCTCATGAGGGGACTTTACAATACAGCAACTGTTTAAGCATTCAAATGGTAAAATCATTAAGCATAAAGCATGATAAATGAAAACATGAATAATTCCATCAGGTTGTTATTGTATGTGCAATTTGTTAATTTGGCACGGCACAGTCTGGTTACATTTTTTAAATTACTTTTGAAGATCTGAAGATTTTAACTTGATATTATGCTTGAAAATGTTCTATGTAGTTTCAACAAGTTACATATAAGCTAAAGTCACTGGCGTAGTGTTTTTATTAGTTAGTTTATGTATATTTTAACATTATTTTGATCTCCTGCATAATTTATTTAATTATGCATAAGTCACTTTGATTCACTATTTCAAGAATTTCTGTTACGCTGTTGTAGGTTGCCTGATTGCTAATTAATAAAGCAAAGGAAATGGTATACTTTCACTTGAACTCGTTTAATGTCCTGATTTTTTGTTTTTTGGCTCCCTGCCTTTTTGGACTTATTCTTAATAAAAGGATTTTATGTTATTGCTCCACTGTCATCTGGTTCTCTGCATCTTTGGGTCCTAACCTCCTCTTGGCTCTCCAACGTAACAAGAGGAGAATCAAGGTTGTCCATCATGTTCTTCATAATCTGATGTATCATCCTTTTCCAACCAGCTCCCATGATTAGAGCTCTTTTACAGAGTCCAAATGGTCAGTTCTGTGGTGTTAAAGGAGACAAGGCCTTTCAAGGCCTTTCAAAGATGTCTTTTGAGGTCCTTCAGTATCAGATGGCGTCTGACGGTTATGGGGCTGCAGTCAGTACCAGTAGTGGCACGTGACATCACATGCCTCGTGTAGCTAGCCTGCCTCGGTGCAGGGTAATCCTCAAGCATGTGTCACCACAGTGAATGAGCAAGGATTCAGGGCTAGCCTCATTTGTGGTACTGAATTTTGGCTAATTGAGTTGAGTTTGTACATAAAAATGTCTGTTTTTTATTTATTTCTGGTTTGCTTAGGGGAAACAGCATGTAGCAATGATGGCAGTGTGGCAAGGTGGAGAAACAAGGGACTGAGTGGGATTTGATCCCCAGACTCCCAGGTGAGATTTACATGCACTAACCAGTCAGCCAGAGATATCTCCATGGCCAGGTAGCCAGGGCGCATTGTTAATCAGGGATACAGTCACAAATATGGTCACAGAAGCAGAGCTGTTGTGGGTCAGTGCTGGTGAAATTCTTTTATGTTGACTTCTTAATCTTGATTTCAGCCCTTCCTTTGACTTCTTGGTGGCTCAAATCTCTGTATGTCTCTGAGCAACAACACTAAAAAAGAAAACAGATTTGGCCTCCCTAGACCTCTCTATGTGCCTAGGGTGTTTCACACCCTAAATTCTCTCAGGATCTTGCCTATCAAGACCTTCCTCCATTTTTTTCTTGATGATTGGAAATTGCTTTTGTTGGACACCCATTGCCCTCTGGTGGTTTTTAAATAAAATAGCATCACTCCAAAAATAAACTTTTCTAATGGTTACTTTATCTGATGAAAGAAAGCAAAAAATAAAAAAAATAAATAAAAACGTATGATGTTGTAATCTTATCATGCAAAACACTACACATATTTTATTCAAAAAGTGAATGAGTGGGAATGAACTTCAGCTTGTTAAGTCACTCTGTTACAGGTTTTTAACCCTTTAGAATCCTTTTAGAACCAAACCCCAAATCAAATGACCTCTAAAGTTCTTCATAAAACATTTATGTTAAAGAAAATAAAAGCCATAATTTTTGTTTTGCTAAACAAAAGCATATTCTGTTAAAATATATAAATACTTAGAAAGATGAGCTAAATTAATTATCAAAGAAATCATGTTAAGGAACAATGAGTCCCTTATTAACATTAGTTAACATTAGTTAATGCATTATTAAGCATTGATAGGATATTTAGGAACAAAGGATATTTTTATTAACATTCTTAAAGTGACATTATGTAGTTTTTATCAATAATCTCTGGAAATATCCATCAAAATGTTGTAGTGAATTACTTAAAAGATGCCCATTTGTTGAAAAATAATGGCAGTTTCATAACATAACCATAAAAATCTATTCTAAAATACATGGAGCGGGTCTAAGTCTGTGCGCGATGTCATATTGGATGTCATGTTTCCTTCTACGGAAGTCTGTGAGGACAAAATGCATTTACTGATTTGTAACAAATGGTTACAAAACGTTCACATAAACATTGTTGCTTTACACATTTACCTCTTCACTCATTGTCAGTGATGAAAGGGAATCTGATGTTCTTGTTATTTTTCTGGAGGTTGCACTCCCAGGGATTTTTTTACCCTAATGGCCCTCCGTTGGTATGGTCTTATTTGAACATAAAAATATTACTTGCTTGCAATGATTTAGGTAAGTACTGCCCCTATCACCAGGGAAACTACACACTTTAACTTTAAAGTGGTTATATCCAAGCCTTCAATCTTTTCCAACAACTGGACATCCTTTTTTTATTTTCAACAACGCTTCGATGGACATTTCCAGAGATTAAAAGTAAAAACTACACACAGTCTCTTTAAGGTTAGGACAAAGTGCCCGGGGGGTGGTCTGTTTAGTAATGCATTACTTTCTATTAACATTAATATAAGACAGTTGTCAATACTTAATTTAATAGTTTATTAATGCTCAATATTGCACTAAGTATCGTTAATCAAGTTACCTAATGTAATACCAAGTTTTGCTCAAACAGTTTTGTTTATGATAACATAAACCATTTTGAACTGTTACCTTTCAGAAAAGCTCTTTTTGGCCTGTAGCACTCCAGATGCAGCTGATGGGTACCAGCAGTCCAAGCGGAATGCAGCTCGGGTGGTCATGGAGGCAAAAACCTGGGCATGGGACGAGTTCGGAGAGACCATTGAGCAAGACTTCTGTGTGGCTTTGAGGAGATTATTTTCCAGCATCCAGCATCTCAGGAGGGAAAACAGTGCACTACCAACACTGTTTACAGTCGTGACGGTGTGCTGTTGACCTCTACTCGGGACAATATGGATCGGTGGGTGGAACACTTCAAAGATCTCCTCAACCCCACCGGCATACATTGAGTTGGACTCTCCAATCTCTGGGGCCAAGGTCATTGAAGTGGTCAAAAAACTCCTCAGTGGCAAGGCCCCGGGGGTGGATGAGATCCGTCCGGCGTTCCTTAAGGCTCTGGATGTTGTTTGGCTGTGTTGGGGCTGTTCCACTGGATTTGCAGACTGGGGTGGCGGTCACCCTATTTAAAGAGTGGACAGCAGAGTGTGTTCCAACTACAGGAGGATCACACTCCTGAGCCTCCCTGGTAAGGTCTATTCAGGGTTTCTGGAGACAAGTGTCAATCGGGTTGTCGAACCTCAGATTCAGGAGAAACAATGTGGTTTTTGTCCTGGCCGTGAAACACTGCACCAGCTCCATACCCCTAGGGGGGGGGGGGGGGGGGGGGGGGGGGCAGCAGGGTGCATGGGAGTTCGCCCAATCTACATGTGATTTGTGGATTTTGAGAAGGCATTCGACTGCGTCCCCCCGGGGGGCGTGTGGGGGGTACTGCAGGAGTGATCTCCAGTTTTCACTGGAGCGGTTCGCAGCCAAGTGTGAAGCAGCTGGAATGAGAATCAGCTCCTCTAAATCCGAGGCCAAGTTCTTGATTCGTAAAAGGGAATGCCTTCTCCAGGTCAGGGATGAGGCCCTGCCTCTAGTGGAGAAGTTTAAGTATCTTAGGGTCTTGTTCACGAGTGACAGAAAAATGGAGCGTGAGATCCATAGACGGATTGGTGCTGCTTCTGCAGTGATGCTGGTGTAGTACCAATCTCTCGTGGTGACGAGAGTGCTGAGCCAGAGGGGCTCGAAGTAGGCCCGCTGCTCCTCCACGTTGAGAAGAGCCTTGGCTCGGGCATCTGGTCAGGATGCCCCCTGGACATCTTATTGGTGAGGTTTTTCAAGCATGTCCAACAGGGAGGAAACCCAAGGGAAGGCGCAGGACACGCCAGAGGGACTATGTCTCTCGGCTAGCCAGGGAACATCTTGGGATTCCCCCGGAGGAGCTGGCCCAAGTGGCTGGGGAGAGAGAAGTCTGGGCGTTCTGACTGAGGCTGCAACCTCAGTGACCCCACTCCGGATAAGCGGCTAAAAATGGATGGACCTTTTAGAAAAGGAGGTCATAATAGGCAAGTGTCTTGCCCTAGGACAACACAGCAGAATTCTCTGGCGGGAGGTGGAGTCCAACCTACAACCTTCTATTTAAAGAACAACCTGCTCAACCTCTTGAGCTACTGCTGCCCCTAAAAAATGGAAAACTCTCTAGACCAGGGATGTCAAATATGCGGCCCCAAGAAGGTTAAATCCGGCCCGCGAGCTGGTTGTGTAAACTTTATTTTCATACTTTACAATGTAGAGTGAAAATAAACTTATCTTTGTGAGCAAGTTTTCTCTGTAATGAGTATAAATGCAACAAAGCTGCGCTCAAGGCTCACACAAGAACTTGAATCACATCCTGAAGTTGGCTGCCTCTCAGGATGTGACTTCTGATATTGATGTGCTGGTGAAAGCTAAAAGATGTAAAGTAAAATGAGTCAAATATACTTTAAGTGCTGCATGAAACTGATGTAGCCATGTGATCTGTAAGCTCTTTGAATCACTAAGGAATGTCTTTTTTATTTATTTTTTTAATACAAATTTTCAAGTACACTTCAGGTGTTGTACTTGTACTATTTTGGATTCACTGTCCTCAGGCTCCAGCTTTGTTTTATATTGATTGTATTTAAACAAAGAAAACAATTTGAAGTTGTTTTTAATTTACCTGTCCGGCCCACTTGGGACTAGATTTCCATCAATGTGGCCCCTGAGCTAAAATGAGTTTGACACCCCTGCTCTAGACTGAGTGGGTTCATTCATTCATTTATTCATTCATTCATTCGTTCGTTCGTTCATTAGTTCGTTCGTTCGTTCGTTCGTTCGTTCATTCAATTTATTTAGAGATTTCAGAATGGGTATTTGAGGCTATTTGAAAGGTTTCAAAAACCCAGACTTTTCCCATATTTATGAATGAATGGATTATTCTGTTTTAAAATAAATCAGAATAAAAATTACACAAACAAACATAATGTTAAAAAAGTTAGTTTTGAACACCATTTTCGCACATTGATTAATGATTCCTCCACAAAGTGGCGTTAGTTTGCAAAAATGTGCTTAGTGTAATGAACAAGTTTGGGCACCAGATGGCAGTATAAAATGCTTCACGTTTTTAGCGAAGAAGAAAATATTACTTCCGTGTCAATTTAGCACATATGTCACATATTCGGAAGTCACACAATAAATGCATTTATGTTTGTGTTTTAATGAAAACAAAACCTTTTAATGATCAATTATTTCGTAAATACAATGATAAAAAAAGATTTATGTACTTTAATCAAAATATAGTTGTGTTTCCAGCTGCTGAGCAGGAAACACAGACGGTTTTTATTTTATTGTGAAGAGCTTGACCGGAAGTCCGACTGCATGACGATGGTAGACATTTACAGAATAAACTGTTAGACGTGGAGTTTAGACCATAGACAGCCAAACAGTGGCAGCGCACAATGAAAGGTGGTAGGGATTATCACTCTGATTTGTGGATTTATTCTGCTCTGACGACGGAATTACCGAGATGCGTTGTGGTCTAAAATGACGCGGTTACCTCGTTAAAAACCGCTTCCTCGTCGATCATCGTGTGAAAGGACCACATCAGTCAGATATTCTACTGCAGCAACTCGATCTGATCTGTGACAGATTCATCAGAATGCCTGAAAGCATGTCACCAGTTCCCACCGTGCCGCTGGTGATTAACTGCTTCCTGTCTGTTCTCGGCTGTTTGGCCACACTCAAACTCATCCCTGCTTTTAAAGATCATTTCATCTCAGCTCGACTCTGTGGGATGGATCTGAACAAAACAACAAAAAAAGAAGTGTACGTTGTTTTTTACTGTCTGGGTTCATGAAAGCCTGATCATTTTTGTGTAATGTGCTCTTGGTCCTCATTTTCTTTCCTTTTCTGCAGTCCAGAGTCTCAAGGAGTCATCAGTGGGACAGTCTTTCTCATCATCCTCTTCTGCTTCATCCCAGTGCCTTTCCTCAGCTACTTCGTAGGAGACCAGTGCATGGGTTTCCCACACGATGAGGTGGGCTGTGTTTGATCACCAGTGTTTCTCTCATTAGTGAACCTTTGAACCCAGACTGACCTCTGTGTGTGTTTTGAGCAGTTTGTGCAGCTGATCGGTGCTCTTCTGGCCATCTGCTGCATGATCTTTCTGGGCTTTGCTGACGACGTGCTGAACCTCAGATGGAGACACAAGCTCCTTCTTCCCACCGTGGCTTCTCTGCCCCTGCTCATGGTGTACTTTACTAACTTTGGTAACACCGTCATCGTGGTGCCCAAGCCTTTCAGAGCTCTACTTGGGCTGCACTTGGATCTGGGTGAGATTTCCTCGAGCTGGATTTGACAGATTAATCATTCAATGTGCTCTCTGTGAGAGACAGCGCTCATAAAATATGAATCCTCATAGACAGCCACCTAAGTTGGAGTTTTTTTTTAATGGCTGAAATGATCAATAAAAAGCACAACAGCTGATCTGTTTTTTCTGCAGGTATCCTCTACTATGCCTACATGGGAATGCTTGCTGTTTTCTGCACAAATGCCATCAACATATTAGCAGGCATCAACGGCATCGAGTCAGGCCAAGCCTTGTTCATCTCTGGCTCCATCATCATCTTCAACCTGCTGGAGCTCAGTGGTGCGTGATTGTTGACCCTCTACCCTGGCTGTACTAACATTTATCATCTCCTCTGAGGGAATTGGATATTTGGTTGGAAGGTATCGCATGTAGAAACCATATCACAGAATAAAAAACGCACCAGAGCAGCCCCCTCCACACCTGGTTCTTCCTTCTGAAACAGAGTGTGCAGCTTCAACGCTCAGCATAACAAAGACAACAACAACTTTCACAAAGTTGTACTCCAGGTCATGACCGGCCAGTGGTTTTCTCCACCACCAATGTGCAGGCTGGAGTGAGCAGAGTCCGTCTCAGGAAGGCCAAAGGGCCTGGTGAGATCCCTGGCTAGATTCTGGAGGCTGGCACGGCACAGCCATTTTTACAAAACAATGCTGTCAATTTTTTGCAATTCCACGGCGGCATCAGGGTGCCTTCGTTCATTTATAAGTGTTCAAACCGTGGCAGTAATGTGGCGCAATCGTGTCCTTTTTATAAAAGATAGGCGATGGCGGCATAAAGGGGGTACGGAGGCGGTCCCTGCGCTGCTGCGGACTTCCGTTTATCTTGGACTTGTTTTTAATTGTGATTGAAGCTGCGATCGTTACTTTTTTTTTAACAAGCCGCTCCTAAAGGTGTCTGTCCTCCCCAGTCTCTGGTGATCTGAGCTCCAGCTCTAATGGAGAAAAGCTGTTTGCTGATTTTGTTCAAAAAACAAAACTTATTGCCCGTGTTTACTTTCATTTTCAATATAGCTGCCGACCGTAGCTCGGCATTAACTCCCCACATCATCATGACACCTCCCTCTGTTGCATCAAGGCGCAGTCGCTGTTTATGAGACATAATTACTGCAATGTTACTACCAAGCGAGGTGAGACAAATGTTGCAAAGTTTGCGCAACACCATGTTGGCGTGGCGCATTTCCAAGACACAGTGTTGCTGTAATATTACGCCAATTTGCCGGCACGGTGTGTGTTGTGAAACGAGCTATTATTGACATAATGAACCTGTCACAGGGGCAGGAGGTCATTCCCACATATCTGAAGACCTCAAACACCGTGCCAGTAGAAAGGATGGACTGGATGATTTTCGTCCAGTTGCATTCACATAAACCATCACCAGAGAGATGAATCGTTTCCTTGATCCTGCACTCCACCCTGGCACATCTGGACACGGCCATCGCATATTTATTATTTATTTATTTTTTCAACCTTTATTTTAGCAGGTAAAATGCTTGAGAACATGTTCTCATTTACAAACATGGCCTGGCCAAGAGGTCTTGGGAGAAAAAAAATACTACAACAAAAAAAACTGCATTTCATTGTCTGTTTGCTTTTTCATTGACAAAAACATTTATTCTAAATTAATATTTTACAATTTGCATTTTTGTGATGTCATCGCCCACGTGCAACAGATTTGTGACGTTTGTGTTCCTAAACCTTCCAGGAGATTACCGAGACGACCACGTTTTCTCTCTCTACTTCATGGTGCCGTTCTTCTTTACCACCTTAGCACTTTTTTACCACAACTGGTGAGTTAAACCTGCAGCCCGGTACTTTTGGATGTCTGAGTTAGAGTATAAAGTCGGATGTCTGTCATCCTTTGCCTTCTCTTGTGACAGGTATCCCTCGTCTGTGTTTGTGGGAGACACTTTCTGCTACTTTGCTGGGATGACCTTTGCTGTAGTCGGCATCCTGGGACACTTCAGCAAAACAATGTTGCTGTTCTTTTTACCTCAAGTGATAAACTTTGTGTATTCTTTGCCTCAGCTTTTTCACATAATCCCCTGTCCCAGGCATCGATTACCCAGGTAAGCCATTCATCGTCATTCATTGTTCCCTTATTGGTTGTTTCCACTTAGTTTTTATGTAGAATACACAACATGGAGCTAAAGTCTTGACTCGTTTCCTCAGTTATTGTACATTTATTCAAAGAATCCACAATTCCTTGGGATCCTATAAGTGATCTTAAGTTTTCTGAAAGTTTAAACTTTCTGATTTTAAATGTGATTTAAACAGCATTTTTGTAAACTTAAAAAAAATTGGCTGAAAAAACATACTTTAAATGATTATTTCTGATTATAATGGGTCACTCTGAGTTTTTCATGCAGGTTGAACATGAAAATAGTCTCCTACAGCTATCTCCTGCATTAGCTTCTTATAGAAAATAGACCTGACAGATCTAAGTCACATTGTGAATTGGACTTAGGCCTACTTGCTGTTAAACCACGCATACGCCTGTTTAAAATGGCTGCCAAGTGTTTGTGTGTATCCCCCGAAATTAACGCGATGCGTCTGATCACTGCAATATACGAGTAACCAGCAGGTGGAGTTGACAGATCGAGTGAGACACACCCACCGTGGTGATTCTCTCTGGTTTAGAGGTCTTGCATACCATCTAGGATACCACCATGATCTCAGAACTAACTAGTTACTGATCTCTTCTATTGAGGTTTTTCTTGGTTGTACCTACAGCCCCGGCTCTTTTTCCGATCTGAGTTCTCTAGTGAGACCACTGCAAATGCATTGATTAAACGAGTAATCCACACCTTTAAAAAAACTTATCTTTGTAAATATGCTGTTTAAAGCTTGTAGTTAAGGACTCACTGAGAGTCTTGTTGGTATAAAAATACTTGTCTTTAATACAGTTTTACCATAAACTCTACTGATCCATGTTATCCAGCCTCTGAGGTAAACTAGACTTTCAAACTAACATTTTCTGTCTTTTTCGTTCTAACTACAAGACTGGATCCAGATACTGGCAAACTGGGGATGAGCTACTCTAAATTTAAACTGAAAGACCTCTCCCAGCTGGGAAACCTGATCATGAAGGTAAAGCTTGTCTCGCTGATGGGAGATCTGATCTGATTTATTACTCTTAATTGTCTATTTTAGTGATTTTCTTTCAAAATCTCAACCTCTTGACGAAAACTGCAGCAATAGATGGAAAAATGTAGAGTTCCTGAAACCAGACAAGTCAGATGTGGTTTATCGGTCGAATGGCTGCTCTGTGTTTTTGGATTAGTCGTAATATTTGATCACCAACAGACCGCAGAGTTCTTAAAGCTGCTGGAGGTGCGCCGAGGCCCGGAGGGAGATGATGAGTTTATTGAGTGCAACAACATGACGTTAATAAATCTGGTTCTGAAACTATTTGGACCCATCCATGAGAGAACTCTAACCATCATCATGCTCCTCATACAGGTACGCTGAACACCTGCTGCCTCCAAAGCTGCTGCTTGGACACCTTTCACCTGTTGCTTGTTTCTTTTCCTCACTCAGGTGATGGGGAGCGTGGTGGCTTTTGGGATCCGTTACCACCTGGTTCGTCTCTTCTATGACGTGTAGACAGGACGAGGCTTCTTGTTGTGGTGCTGCTTTAAAGGCTTGTTATCCTTCTGCCTTTAATTAGCTCAAGTCTCTCTGGTTTCACTCAGAAAAGCCTCAAGAGATATTTCACGTTTATCTCACCTGGAAATGCTCCCAACTGGACTGCAAGTGCAAGTGGGTCAAAAATCAATTTAGTCCAATCAGAAAAGTCCATTTTTTGTATTTTGTTTTTTTAACAAAGCACAGGAAGGAAGGCCAAAGTTTTGTTTTTACAAAGCCAGCATTCTTGGCTGAATTTCTCTTGAGTTTGTGTTCTTTTAATAACTAATTCAAGACGGTGGAAGAATCAAAGTAACGAAATGCATTAACATTGCACTGATGGGGACATGTGGGTTCTTGCTTTGATTTTTGCTCTGAAAGAACAACAAAGACTGCCGGCGGAGCTAACGGGGAAGCCTATCAGTCTGAGAGCAGGGTGGATGTGGGGAAATGGAGGGTGTATTAGTGCTGATAGAGGAAGCTAATAGTGTCTGTGCTGTTGTACGAACAAAAGCTTTATGAAGGGTGATGGTTCTCCTTAGTAATGAGAATGGGCAGAAAACCATTTAAACAAGCGGGTCCTACGTGTTTTTCTTAAAGAATGTAATTTAAAGTGAAACACTGTTTATTCATGACATTGAATACAGAAATTCTGAAATAAAAATTTTAAAATATGTTTATTTTTCCATTGTCATTGTTTAAACTCATTTAGATCATATTCCGATCCAAAGCAAAAGGTCAGCAAATAATAATATAAGATTTTGGAAAGTGTGCTGTTTATTTGAGTCTAACTACTGCAGGTTTAACCCCTAACCCAAAGAATTATGTTAAATAATCTCCCAGTGATCTATTTAGGATTCATTTTATTTCGCTTGTGAAATATGAGTGGTGATGATGGAGAAATGCAGTATTAGCTCATGACAATCAAGTCACATTTTGAGAAATGGTTCAAGGCATTAGCAAAAAACTTGATAATGTAAAATTCTTAAAGATTTATGTTGAAAACTATTTGCAGAAAAGCTTTTCTCTATGGTGAATAAGCACCAAATAAGATGTTTGTTTCATTTTTACGCTGCTTTAGACCAGAGGTGTGGCCTCGAGTCACATGACGTGGACTCGAGTCAGACTTGAGTCCTTATTTTAATGACTTCTGACTTGACTTGATAAAATCTATAGAGACTTACGACTTGACTCGAACTTGAACGTCAATGACTTGCGACTTGAGTCAACTTGCATCTGTTAACTTGATGATGACTTGAGCATATTTGATATTTCAGCACAACGGTGACACGATATGGACAAAAATCATAAATCATTCTTGGTTCTGGGTTTGATTTACTTCTAAATGCAGCAGCACTTTGTTTATAATCAGTTTCAGTTGCACTTCCTGCTTGTTTGAGCAAATAAATTAAACTTTAAGAAGTTTTATTCCTGGAATTTATTATCATTGTCATTAAATTGAAGTTTGACAGATGACTCAATTATGACTTGAAAATTCAAAGTTCAGGAGTTGGACTTCCACATCATTGACTTTGGACTCGCCTTGAACTAGATTGTCTTTGACTTGGACTTGACTCAAGACATGACTGAAAAGACTTGTGACTTACTTGTGACTTGCAAAGCAGTGACTTGGTCACACCTCTGCTTTAGACCTCTAGGCTGGATGGGCACTCCCAACATTTAAACACCAGCTAAATAAGTCAGATGTGAAGGCTATAACATTCATTACATGAAAAACATGTTTATTATTTATATTTGCTGATGTTTACTATTATGCAGTTATGTGAATTACCTTTCATGAAAATTTCTTTGCTTTGACCAGAGTTGGAAAGTAACGAATTACATTTACTCACATTACTGTAATTGAGTAGCTTTTTTTTGTGTGTATTTATACTTTTTAAGTCATTTTTAAAATCTGTACTTTTATTTTTACTTGAGTATGTTTTTTTTAAGAATTGTAATTCACTACATTTTAAATCATATCCGTTACTGAGTAAAAATAAATTGTAGGCTTAATAAATGAAAAAGTATTAACAGAAAGAGACTCCTGCATGAGTGCCACGTCTAAACCGGTGTCGGTACAGGATCTACTCGGGTCCAGGATCGGCTTGGGGGCGAATCCAGAGCTTCGCCTCCTAGCTCAGCTCTCTCTTCACCACGAGAGACCGGTATCGCCCCCATCACTGCCGACGCAGCACCAATCCGCCTATCGATCTTGAGCTCCAGCTTTCCCTCAATCACGAACAAGACCCTGAGATACCTAAACTCCTTCGCTTGAGGCAGGACCTCATCCCTGACCCAGAGAAGGCATTCTACCCTTTTCCGACATCTGGTATTGCACAATATAGAACACGTACTGAATATTACATTGATGTTATTGCGTAACAGGATAATGCCAGTACCAGTTAAACTGAGGAGTTATACACTCTTAATGCAGAGGGGATGATTGACCTATGGTAGCGTTCTGTTCTACATCTTGAATGTCTCACTCTGCCACTGAAGGAGCTGTCCATGGCCCCTTCAGTGGGCTCTCCATAGTGGGTGCACAAGGGTCAAAAACCTTTATATGGCACTAATTTTAGAATGTTTGTTTAAGCAAAGATAATCATTGTGTGCATTTGCATTTAAAAGAAAACTTCACAAACGGAGTTGAATGCAGGTTAATATTAAAACAATGTTTGGGGCTTGAAACTTTGACCCGATAAAATGACTTTTTTTCTTGGCGACATCTATGTAAATGTGCTGATGGTGACACGAAACCTCTCTTTAATTTATAACCTATAGGGCATGTTGTGATCTGTGGGGGAAACTGGAGTACCCGGAGGAAACCCACGCAGGCATGGGGAGATTACGCAACTCTGTGCAGAAAGGCTGCAGCTGAGTTTCGAATCCGGAAAATCTTTGTGCTGCGAGGCAACAGTGCAAACAACTGCACCACCATGCAGCCCATTTTTCTTACCGTTTCTGTGATAATGTGGTTCAAGTGCCCGCTTGAAGGTTGAAAGGGTCTTCTCATAAATCACAGATTTGGAACAGTTTTTAAAAAAAATGTGTAGCATTGTTTTCAATGGCGGCATCAGTCGAAGGATTCCAGAAACAGTTTAAAAAAAGAAACAAATCGATAATGCTTTCAGAACTTTTCAACGTTGGGTTTGTTTCAGTTAAAGAAAAAGAAAAAAAACAAGCTGCTCTCACGCTGCTGCTGGCTGTTCATTACACCAGCCCTCTATGTGACAGCACACGGGGTTTGGGGGCCCCTCTGTGGCCCCCCGAGCCGCCTATTGAGCACCACTGATTTAGTAGATCCTCCTTTTGCAGAAATAGCAGCCTCTAAACTCTTCCTATAGCTTCTAATGAGAATCTGGCTTCTGGTTGAAGGTGTTTTGGACCTTCTCCTTTACAACACATCTCCAGGTGTGATGACGTCTGTGCATAGCCAGCTTTCCTTAACTCACACCACAGATTTTCAGTAATATTCAGGTCGTCTCTGACGGTTCTCACCAGTCTCCGTTTCTGTTAAGCCAATATTTTTCATTGGTCTGTCTTTGACTTTATATTTTTTTGTTTAAAAACATCTGTACTATTTCAAACCTAAATGGATTATAAGACGCTTTAAGAGTCCATTGTTCTTCCCCCCCCCCCCCCCCCCCCCAATCGCCTTTAAATTAATTTTCGTATAAGTAAGCTAATGCCCACGCATATCCTGGGCCATCTAACCTCAGGAATTCACATGATAGGGTGGGGCCAGGCTTCACAATGAGCTCACCCGAAACTCTGGCTGAATAGGACCCACACCCACCCTCACACCTTGGCTCATGTGTTTATGTAGAAGATCATCAGGGGGTCTTTTGTTCCCTCTTCGGTGGGAAACTCCCACTGGGTTTAAATCTGGGACTCTCCACCATTTGACCTTAGAACTGAAGAAGCCTCTCGGATGAGAGGTGAAACTTCTTCAAGCAACTTAAAGAAGTCCAGACGCTTTTCTTTCAAGCTCCTTAGACTACATTGACCTGGATGACTGAGAACCTTCACAGACATAAGCTAAATTAACACGGAACGATGGAACTACGTTGTGTTTCAGCCGGTGATCATATGCTGTTGCACACAACCCGCGCTCTGGTAACCGATCAGAAATAATGCATCTTACCCACGTAGCGCCTGTTGTCAGATAATTTAATGCTTTTAAAGGTTAGTTTATTTATTTTTTCTGCCCGTTTTATCTGCTGAATGTTTCAGACGTGTTTCAGTTCTGCTCTGTGGAAGTTAGCTCGCAGGAAGTAGCGGCTAGTCCAACATCTGGGAGTCAAACGCAGCCTTCCGGCTAACTGACTCCGAGAGATGCCTCCTAAAAGGCGCATTCAGAGAAAAATGCTCAAATTGAGCTGTGAATGGGGTTCGTGTCAGGAATTATCCAGTCAGATGGAAAACTTTTGTAAACATGTGGAGGAACATCTGACGTGTTTGAACACGGAGGAGGACGTGGAAGCAGGAGGTGAGTCCACCTGATTGAAACGTCATGTCTGTTTAGATTTTAAACAGCCTGGTTGTTGTGTTTTTTTTCTGTCCAGAGGACAGAATGTGTCTCTGGAGAGACTGCGGGTTCTGCTCTGTTGATGGGTTTGAAGAACTTCGCAGACACCTCCTGTTTCACTGCTACCACACCAAGCTGAAGCAGCTGGGTCAGCAGGTCCTGGATGCTCAGCCAGAGCTGGGCAGCTGCTCCATCGCCTACCACAACCGCAACATCATCCCAGACATCCCTGATAACTTCATCTGTCTGTGGGAGGATTGTGAAGTGAGACGGGATTCATAAACCAGTTTCCGTTAATAGTCTTCTTCCAGTATCTTGGAATTGTTCATACGTATTGATCATTTTCTTGGATCCATTGCTTGTTTTGATTCCAGACTTTCCCCCTACTTTTTCCTCCAGACTCACAAAAGTAAACAGCTTCCTACATTTTACTTCTAACTTATTTTATCTTTTTGTCTTTGTTAAAGCAACCTCCCTACGAAAACCCCGAGTGGTTCTACCGCCATGTGGAAATGCACTCAGTGTGTGTAGATATCCCAACTGGAGACAGTGAGTTCTCCATACGCTGTGGATGGAAAGGTATTTAACATCTCAATATAATTATTTACAGTCAGAATTATTCAGGGCAGTACTTAAAAGGGGATCTTGTTTTGTAGATTGTGAAGCTACGGCTAAAGGGCGTCCGAAGCTCAGGGAACACCTGCGTAGCCACACCCAGGAGAAGCTGGTGGCCTGTCCGGGCTGTGGGGGGATGTACGCCAACAACACTAAATTCTTTGACCACATTATACGACAGAGTGCTATGGAAGGTAATTTCTTACAGTCATTGTTTTCGAGAAAATGCTTGGCCAAGAAGACCGTAAAGAAAAACAATAAGTATAATACATAACATCCATGATCTTAACCGCTCCATCCTCACTAGGCTTACGGGGAGCTGGTCTCTGTCTCTAGTGGTAATCGGCCTGGATAGGTCGCCAGTCCATCACAGGGCCCCATATAGACCAGTGACACACTCACTCACTTACCGGTATTCAGCGTATGTAGATGATTAACTGCATGTGCTAAAACAGAGCAGCAAGAACAACTACATACTTTTTTTCTATAAGGTGATCCCAGTACAGAGCTCTGAAGAGCTCCCTTGGTAATGAGAGAGACTCAGCATAGTGGAAACAATGTGTTTGAGCTGACCAATCACTTGAAAACTATCACATTGAAATAATAATTTGTGTTCTGCTCTCCAGTGTATTGTGGTCAACTGACACTTAAATCAAATTCATATGAGCAGAAGTTGTTCAAACTCTTCAGCTTGTCATCGTGTTTCTTCCTGAGTCCTAACTGGTGTTTAGAAATAAGTGAACTGTTGTGTGGTAATGACTTCCGTTGCCCACTAAGCATTTAAATCATTTTCACCAAAACTCACTATTTAAATGTGAGGCTGTAGTTAAAATCTGAAATATCTTCTTTTTAATTCATCTTTTATCACAGGACTGAGACCTCATTATTCAAAAAAGAAAGATTCAAATTACAATTCTGTAGCTTTGTAATAAAATGTGTGTGTGTGTTTGTGTGTGTGTGTTTGTGTGTGTGTGTGTGTGTGCGTGTGTGTGTGCTGTAGGTCAGAGATTCCAGTGTTCTCACTGCTCCAAACGTTTTGCAACAGAACGACTGCTGAGAGACCACATGAGGACCCACGGTGAGTCTTTGAAACTGTGATCTTTACTCCCTGTCCACCATTAATCTGCCTAGCAACCTCTTTATTGAATGTTAATAAGTTGTAAATAAAAGCAGCTCTGTTTCAGTAGTCTCAATGTGGGAAAAGTAATCAAGTTACTGGTTTGTTTTTCCTGTTGGGACAGTGAGCCACTACAAATGCCCGTTGTGTGACATGACCTGCCCATCGCCCTCAGCACTGCGCAGCCACATCAAGTTCCGCCATAGCAACGAGAAGCCCTACAGCTGTGACTATTGCGAATACAGGTATCTCTTCTTCTTTGTCTGCTCACACTCGGATCATTAAGGTGAAAGCTCCACCTGATGATGCCTGCCTCTTGTTTTTGTAGCTGTAAGAATCTGATCGACCTGCGTAAACACCTGGACACCCACAGCAGCGATCCAGCATTTCGCTGTGACGTTCCCGGGTGTGGCTTCACCTGTCGTTCGTCCTGCACCATGAAGATCCACAACCAAAAAGAGCACGAGGTGAACTTTGGCAGCCTTATGGGGTGAGACGTTCTCACCACCGGGGTTTGATGAGGAGAAAGTTTAAGACTTTAAAGCTCTCACAGATTCTTCTTATTTTAGATGATAATGTTTTATTTTCTCCCTGAAACCAGAAGAGTTTTACAGCTCGCTACAAGTGTCACGTGTGTGGCCAGTGTTTCACCAGAGGCAACAGTCTGACCGTCCATCTGCACAAGAAGCATCAATTCAAATGGCCTTCTGGACACCCCAGATTCAGGTTGGTCTCCTGCTTCAGCAGAAGTTCCTGTTGTGTATTTTGTATGTGATGTCTTCCATCAACCTGTCAGGTACAAAGAGCACGAGGATGGGTTCATGCGACTGCAGCTGATTCGCTACGAGAGTGTGGAGCTGACTGAGCAGCTGATGAGAGAAAAGCCGAGGAGGGGAGTGGAGGATGACGAGGACGACAATAATGACGAGAGTAACCACACTGAGGTTCAGGAGCTGGAGGAGGGGCCTGCAGCGGCTTCAGAGGTGCAGGCAGAGCTGAGAGGGGTGCTGCTGGAGGAGCAGAGGACTGAAGAGCCCACCATCAGCACTGAGGATGGGGTTCAGGTGGAGGGCATGCTGTATGTCCTGACGCAGGAAGGAGAGGACCATGTCATGCTGCAACTCCAGGAGACGCCTCAGCAGCACGGAATGCTGCTGGACTGACTTCCTGCTCATCAAACACAGGAGAGAACCAATCAGCTGATCGGGTAACGAGGACTCAGGAGATCACTATATCCCTGAAGTGGATAAAAGACTCATTTTGTGTGTGCATCTGCTTTTGTTGATGTTTTCCAGTGTTTGGATTGTTTTCTATTTAATTCTTAAGACTCAGATAAATCTATCACAACCTGATAAATAAACATGATAATCTGAAAGAATCTGGTCAATTTGGATTTCCTCATCTGCTCAGAAAACTTAATCTTCAACAAACATTTGAACCTCATCCAGGTTTTTTTTTTTGTTTGTTTGTTTGTTTTGTTAAGATTTGTTTACTTCCAAGAAATGGTTTCCTGGCTCATCAGTCATTTCTGAGGCTGCTGTTCCTGGATATCTGAGGAGTGATCAGAGCTGCTTCAATCAGTAGTTTTTACTCTCTACCCTTTGTTCCAGCGCCCTCTTCTGACTAAGTGCTGCACTGCAGCTGTTAAACTTTTTTTTCTCTAACTGATTTAGATGACTTTTCTGTTTGGTTTTAGGTTGTTTAAAAAGTTTTACTCAACAATGGAAACATTATCTTCAGCTGTTTCTTTACTTAAAACAACTAAAATGATACAATTGGCAGAAAATGATCTGATTGTTTAGTAAACAAACATCCAGATTCCTGTGCATCTAAAACAAGTTTTATTAAACTGGACAACCACATTTTAACCATGACCTCTGACCTTTTAGTAGAGCTTCATCGAGACAAACTGGTATCAAAGCCTCAGGTTTCACCACAGCATTAGGTGTGTGTGTGTGTGTGTGTGTGTGTAAGATTAGTCTACACACACACAGCTTAGCTTCAGCAGTACTTAAACTTCCTTATTGCCCTGCCGAGAAGGCAGCTGCACCTGCACCAGACTGGTTATAATGAGCGGTCTGCTGTCGCTGACCAGCGCTCCGATGACTTCAGATTTGTGACGACATCAGAAGATCTTCACCATGCTGCTAAGTGTGTTTCTGATGTTGTTTTGGTCCTTTCAGAGAGGAAGATCTCAGCCATCTGAGTGGAACACAGAGCAGGAAGTTAGTGGTAAGATCTCCTGCTGTCTGATGTTATTTGTACTCATGTGCTGGAAAGTCGTGTATTTTATTAATAATAATTATAGTATCTTATTAACAAGTTTTCTATGAAAAACAGTTTAATTTCAATTATCACTCTGATGTTTGGTAAGTTATGATTCATGACGCATCAGATGCACCTGCAGTTGAGGCCGAATGGATCCTCCAGCCAGACTTGAAGGGCGACTCGTACTGGTCCGGGACTGCCCCTCTGTGTTTAGGAGGCTGTAAGGCTCTTCACCAGGAGGTGAAGAGGGATCGATGTGGAAACTCCAGCTGCTGCTGGCTCGGCTACAAGTCCCTCTGCAGAGGTGAGCGTGGACTAAAGTTCTGTTGGATCCATTCGTACTCTGAGAAGATCTTAATGTCGGGCTTCTGTTGGTGGATCAGTGAACTGTGGGAGACCTGATGTGGACTACAACGGCGTGGCATACGGTAATGACTGGTGGGTGGGCTCTGTGGTGAGGTACACGTGTCGCTCAGGCTTCAGGCTCATAGGAGACTCCATCAGATCATGTCAGACTAACGGGCTCTGGACCCCTAAACCCACCTGCCTCAGTGAGTGACCTCTGACACGGGGGTTGGGGGTGGGGGGAGGCTCACCACTTTCCGTGAACCTTCTAACAGATCTGCTCTTTAGGGATGTGTCGCCGGGGACAAGTTGAAATCAGTGAGGGGGAACTGAACGGGACGTGTGACTCCACATGTTCACTCAAGAGCTACTTCGGCCCGCCCAAACTGGGCTGCACCCAGATAGACAACTGTAAGAAGAAGGAGACAGGCTGGAAGAGGTTCTTTGCACAGTGTGTTCCTTGTATTTGTGACTGTGCTTTATCTTGTGGTGAGAACTCACTTTTCCTCAGCATAAAGACATAGAAGCTCCTTTCTGTAAAAAAAAAAAACCTTGTTGTTTTATTTTACTTTTCAGCATCTGCTGGATAGAAGAGGATTCTGACATCACAGTGGCTTCAGATGACTGCTTCCCTTCGCTCCATGACACAAAGAGCGTGAGCTGCTAACACATATGTCTGTAAACACGTCTGTTTTTACGAGAAAATATGATAACGTGAAACCACTGAGATTATAATCCCAGCATCATTACTCCTCCTCTCCCTCCACCTGTCCTGGACCAAGGTAACACTTTAATCTTGTTAGAGCAGATCTGATCTGAGATCAGGGAGTTGGTGTGTTGATGTAGCCAACCAAATGGTACTGATGTAGGTCTGCATTCTTTTAAACTATTACTGAATCTGTATCTGATGTGTTTTGACCTGTTTTTGTTATATTCTGACTGTCTAAATGTGAAAAAGAAGCAGGTGTGAATGTGCACCTGATGATTTTGTGAAGAACCCTAAGACTACATTCAAAACAAATGTATGTTGCATATTTTTTGGACCGATTGTTTTTATTTTTCTGTGAATATTTGAATAATCTTCTGAGAAGGGGGGTTGCTACAGTTGCTGCACTTTTATGTTGTGAACAATTTAAAAGATGCCATAGCTGCCAAACACCACCAGATGTTGCTGCTGTTTTTATTCTCCCAGCTCATGATACAACCACCGCAGTAATCCACCTGCAAAGTGAAAACAGACCAGGTTTTCTTACACGTCTGGTCCAGAGGAGCTACTCATCATTGATGGAGCTCTAAGTGCTGAGCCTGATGACGACGTGCGCTTCTTCTTTAGGCGTGTAAGAACTTAACAAGACAATCTGGGCTCTCCAGAAACATATTTCAACAACTATCCTGCTGTAGCTGGGTAGCCCTGCTTACTCTGCAGGTATTAGACAGTTTCAGATGAATGTCTCTCTGCACAGCGAGGAGGAGCTGTTAAGTGAAAGACTGAGCAATTCTCCTGCCTCATTACAGCTCATTAAGTCTTCCTCAGATAGGCCTTTGCTGAAGCTCAAGGGAGGATACTCACCCACATCCAGCTCTGTGGACTCTCCTGGGTTTTAAGACAGGATGTCCCAGTGCGGGTGCTCCATTCATGCTCTCTAGGAACAAGCCAAAGTCCAGATCCTCTTTCAATAACTGGCAACTCACAGAGAGAGAGAGTCAAGGCGTCTCTCTGGAGAGAGTCTGGAGTCTCTAAAAGCAGAAATGGGTCATCATTTTGAACATAAGAAGGGATGAAAAAAAATCTCATGGGACTCCTAGTCCAGCTCAGTTTTCTCTGCCCCACCCTCCAGCAGGAGTAGGACTCAGGAGTCAGGTCCTTCTCCACAGTCAGTCTGACAGCAAGAGCTTCCAGACCTGAACGTACAGAATTATTTATTATATGATGCTCTAAACACTAAAAATGAACATATTCCCATAAACCAATGTTTGTAAGAGAGCTTCATAAGCAAGGAACAGAAGAAAGCCCTTGGAGAGCTGACTTCCATCATCTGTGACCTTCACCCTCAAATGTTTCTCCATGATGAGCCAAACCCACGTTCTTCCAACAGGAGCGCTACTGTGAGTCTGCAAAAACAGCACCTTCACGCTCAGGGTGAGATGAAAACCAACGCAGGAGCTAAGGGGGACTAACTGAAAAGGACCCGTTGGTGATCAGGTTACTTTTCACTTTCAAACATGGCTGATATCATTTATTGGTGCAAACCTCACTTTGGACATCAGAAAGGGTGAATACATTATTCTTCTGGACAGGATTGTCATCAGTGACTCAGTCGTCCATCCAGGTCTGATCAGCATCAGGTGGGTTTAGGGGTGGTCGTTGGGACACAGAGGAGAAAAAGGATATGGCTCATGGAAATGGCCTCTTACCTAAGTATATACAGCTTGCCCTAAAACAAGTACAATCAATTTAAGTTTTAATTGATGTACTGTAAAACAAGTGCACAGCTGTATATTATTATTGATTAATTAATATATTATATAAACCACCAAATAGTTCTCGAGCGCAGCCACAGCTGCAGCTCACCGCTCCCCACCGAGATGGGTCAAGTATCACATGTGTGTGATGACTAATGGGACTTTAAAGAGCAAGTCACCCCCAAATCAACCTTTTTTTTTTTTGCTGATAAACTATATAAATGTGTGTCTAATTGTGCTGCAGACACGTGTAGTCAATAATTTGGTACTTCAGTGCATCTTAGTTAAAATTTAAATATTCTGCCTAAAACTGGCAGTGTTCTGCCATTGTCAGGTAAAAACTCTGCACTGTATTTGAATTTAAATCTGCCACCGCTATTGGCTAAGAGGTATGCTATGATGTAAACTGGTACATTATGATGTCACCATACCGTTGTTAGCCTGTGTGTGTATTTGTTAGTGGCTCCGCCCTCTCGGTCTGCTAGGCAACAGCATTTTTTTGCATTTTTCAAACATGAAGAGGGAGTGAAGTAAGTTTCTTGTAGGGGGTGACTTGCTCTTTAACTTTATTATATTCCAATATTAAGTACTGATATTCCTAAAAGACTGGAGTCATGGGAGAAGGATGACATGCAGGCCTGTGTGGGTCCATATTGGGATCGTTATAAAGGTTCTGGATTGTTTTCAAAGCAGTCAGAATTGGTTATTTTGAGTAAATTTTGCATTTTTATTCACCAAGTGTCATTTATTGAAATTAAATGATTTTGTTCAGAGATTCACAAGCTGAGTCAGATCCTAAACCTTTTCCTGGAAAAACTGAGCATCTTTGAATTTTTTAATATAAAGTGACGTAAGTAAAACTTTTTGGACTCAAGTCGGCCTGCTCAGACACATTCTGGCCCTACAGTAAACACATCGGGCCACATAAACTGGACTCTAGTTCTGGTAGCTGCCGGGTCTCAGTAATTACATTTAGAGCTCACTCAGCCCTCCGAAGCTGATAGATGGGAAGTTAAAAGAGAAGAAATCATCAACCCCCCCCCTGCTCTGCTGCATTGAACCAGTATAATGTGGGTGGGGTGTATCTGGATTGTCTGAAACACAACAAATCCAGTCAGGAACTCCCAGCTGATGTTCCCCAGGAAGGATTAAAACAAATGAGTAAGGTTTGCCCCAACACCAGTAGTGGCTCAAATTGTCTAAATGTATTTGTTCCCATAACACATTCTGCAAGGAAATTAAAAACATAAATTGAAAAGCTGACGCCTGAATATGACATTCGTGGTTGCTATCTGTGACCAACTGCAGCCTTTGACTAAAACCAGGGATGGGTGGTTCTCCAAGTCCACTTGAAAGCCCTTTTTAAATGAGTCTGATTACAGAGCAGGTGCGACTAAAAATGGTTTTGATTTTCTCTCAGGGGTGATGTAAGTCATAGGGCCAGCTTGAACGCGAGTAACCCCGGCTGTTTTACCGAAAATAACCGGGCACTGCAGCATCAGCAGCAGGCAGCTGCGCAGGTGCGGCTTTTAAAGGGACAGAGGGACCCTCAGTTTAACCTAACATGATAGCTAGCTCAGATTTATGAAGCAAATTAGAATAATGGCCGCAAAGTTCTCAGTTAGTTGCTTTATTTCTATAGTTCTTAAGAACAAATAATAATGGCTATTTTTGGCAGTCAGTCTGATCAGGATCAATTTAATAGCGAAGAAATTCTGATTTTAGAGTGAAAATAAAGCTCTAAATCACAACGAACCCCTTTAGACTTCTCTTACAGACACGGATCCGTGTTTGGGGGTAATTTAAATGGTTCATAGGTGATGTTTTGTCTTTAGAACCCCAAACAGAACAGTATTTCTCTCCTGTAGCATCCCAGCAACGCCCTGCATCCCAGAGCAGCGCGCGCGCCACACTGGCGCACTCGCCGGTGGAGGAGGATAACGGAGACAGGCTGCTCTACCAGGCTGCAGCTGATGCTGCTGGGGCGTCTGCAGCACCCTCATCTGATCTCGGTGTGACTCTCTGGATATGACGGGATAAGGACTGCTGAGGATGCGTGTGCGTCTCGCGCTCGGAGCGGTCGGAACGGATGTCTCTGAAGGGAGTGCTCTCGCCGAGGGAAAGCATGACCGTCATCCTGCTCCTCTGACGAATCTCTCCGATGCAGACATAGTCTGAGAGGTCGGCCGGACATGATTGTGATCTCAGGGGTTGCTGTGCTGGATGAGGGATGATGAGCGCCGCACCCCGAGAGAAATTCATACGGAGACTTTAATAACCCCGATCCGAACCGTGGCGCACCATCAGCTCCTGGCTTGTTTGGGCTTATTTTTCCTGCCTGGGACCGGATGGGAGACCCAATGCTGAGGGATTGGACTGTTCTGTCTGAAGGCATCACTGAGCGCTGCTGCTCTGCTCAACTGGACGTTTCAACACATCGAGAAGTATGTGAAATGTTCGCCTGCTTGTGCACGTTTAATCTAAACTGCTGCAAAGATGTGGCCCCGATGCAGATCCGAATGTGACTCATGAATGACATAATTACCACTTCCTCTCTGAGCGCTACTTTTGTTCTCTTTATTGCCCCCAGTTTGCAGGTAACAGGTGCTTGTTGAGGAGCATCCTCCTGCAGGCGCAGGATCACCATCCCACTGCAATGCTTTACACACACACACACACACACACACACACACACACACACACACACACACACACACACACACACACACACACACACACACACACACACACACACACACACACACACACATTTAATAACCACCTTTCATCCACTTCTCCCTGGCTGTGAGTGCTATAAAATGCTCTCTCTCTCTCTCTCTCTCTCTCTCTCTCTCTCTCTCTCTCTCTCTCTCTCTCTCTCTCTCTCTCTCACACACACACACACACAAACACACACACACACACAGCAAGGCCATTAAAGTATGTCAGTATTTTTCATGGATTATAAGCGGACTGATAATGGAGATTCACTAATGGTAGGATGATCAATAAAAGCCACGGTCAGTTTTCATCACTGGTTCCCTTCATATTATAACACATGCAGACAGCAATGAGTCACAGACAGCTGGAAGATGCTACAAGAACACAATGTCTGTTTACCAAGCAGATATTTTAAGTTAGGCTGTTTTTAATTACTTTACATAAGTTTGCTTTCACAAAGTTCTCTGATGAGTGGTATCAAAAATATGCCAAGACAACTTTTCTTCTAATTACTCCCAAAACATTGAGATATGTTTTAGTTAATGTAAAATAAATTATTTCGTCCAAATCTTAAAAAAAGGGCCGAAAAGTGAATGTCATAGAAATTAAACAATGCTTAAATGATGCTTTAGAGTAACAAAATAGCAGTTTTCAAGCTTATTTATTGTTTTGTGATTAGTTCAGTGTTACATTGTTATTATCTGTTGTCTTTGTGCTACCACACCAATGTCTTTAAAGCTTTACTTTGCTAATTTTTCATATTTTTTAAATTATTTTCTTCCGGGGTTAATTAAATGTCACTCAGACCCTATCGCCCTCTGTGGTGAGAACACTCCACTTGCAACTTCAGAGTGCAGGTGCTAGATCGAAATGAGTTTCTTTTCCATCCAGCTTTGAATTGGAACCATCCACTTGTAAGAAATGAGTGCCTTTACCCTAACCATAACTAAATCAAACATAAAAAAAAACCATAAAAAGTTTTGGGGATAGGATGGTAATGGTCAGGGTCAGGGTTACGTTTTGTGAGTGGATGGTTCCAACTCACAGCTGGGTGGGAAAGAAACAGATCTCGACGGGGAAACTCATTTCGACATAACACCTGCACACTGAAGTTGCAAGTGGAGCGTTCTGACCACATAGGGGGCGATAGGGTCAGAGTGGAATTTCATTAACCCTGCAAGAAAATAATTTAGAAATATATAAAAGTTGCAAAGCTGGGTGGAAAACAAACAGATCTTGACGAGGGAACTCCTATCGTCATAGCAGCAGTTTGTCGACATAGCAGCAGTTTGTCGACATAGCAGCAGTTTGTCAGACTAGAAAAAAAGTGGAGCTGACATATCTGGCACTGCAGTCTGCTTCTAGCACGTTTCCTGCATGTTTTTGATCAGGAACACAGCTGATTTGTTTGATTTAGTTATGAATCGCTCATTTAGACACTAATGAAGGCTGAGGAGACATATCAGGTGTTAGACTAAGGTGTTAAAAAGACAAACAGTGAAGAGATATATTTCACTTTTGGTTTTACTAAAGGGACACTAGGGGGTGCTAAAAGCAAGCCAAAATGTCCTAGTCTCATTGTAAACGTTTCATTAGACTCAAGGTCCAAAGTGTTTCTGACTCAGTTAAGGTTTTGAGATTTCATATTTTGTCAAAAGTGAAATGATTAAGTTGCCTTGGTCTTGGAGAGTTCTGACCTGTTTTAGATCCTCCTGACCTAGATATCCTTCAAGTTGCTCGAGTCACAGAAAAACAAACTCACTAACTTTAACTGCCAGGTTAAACCAGCTGCTCTGAAGCAGTAAAACCGCCACGTTGACCCAAATCCTAAAAGAATACCTGCTCCTGCATTTTGTTTTCATCCAACTGAAACCATCAAACCAGCATTTCCACAGTTGTCAGATTCACACAAACCCCATCAGGTGAATGCCGAGGTAAAGCTTTAACTTTGGAGCTTGTTTTTCTGTGAAATATTATTGTTCTTCTTCTTTGTGGTTTATTTCTTCATATTAAGAAAAGCAAGAAGTAAATCATTGTTAAAATGACAATTTTAAAAGAGGAACAGACTATCTTTTGAAAACTGGTATGAATAACACACCTATGATAACATTATTTCACTTTAATTGACTGAAAATCAAAAATTCTGTAACAAAACTGTTGATATAAACAAAAATCAAATAGCCCTGAGTTCTGATATCAGTCAAAAATTGAATTGTACTGAATTGAACTGGTAGGGAATCTCATGGATCACCATGAAGCACTTCATTTCTTACCCTTTAAGACAGGCCTCCGTGTCTGGTGGAGAAACCACATGACTCAGCAGATCCGGACTGGAAGTGTGCTGCAGGACTGAAACCAGATCCAGACTCCTCACACTAACAGTCTCATTTGCCTTGAGCAGCCTGGCGGTAAACTCCTTCAAACCACTGATTTTTATTCACCAGAGCAAGATAAATTCAAAATAAGATAAACTAAATGTTGAAATTATTTGTTAACTAGATGCGTTTAAGTTGAGTTTTATTCTAGTTAATTCAGATTTTTGATGGATAAGCCATAAATCTTATTCCTACCTCTATTTATTGTTCTTGACATAAAAAGTTTAGCATCTCACATTTTTACTATAAAATGTAAAAAAAAATAAAAAATTATGCAACCATTTTAAAACAAGATGTTTGTGCTTGATTTTAAGATGTTGCTGAGTTTATTTTGTCTGGTGGGCATTAAATGATACTTTCAATGTTTGTCTACCCTCACAGCCTTTCAGCATGGCCGAGAAAACCCTGGAGCAGGGCTCGGTCAGCATCCCCATGGAGGAGACCAAACTGCCTGGAGGAGCCCCCCAGGAGGCGCCACTACTCACTCACCTGAAGAAGGTGGAGAACCACATCACGGAGGCTCAGCGCTTCTCCCATCTCCCACGCCGCTCTGCTGTGGACCTGGAGTTCAAAGAGCTGTCGTACACCATCAGGGAGGGTCCCTGGTGGAGGAGGCGAGGTAGCGCACCCTCCGTTCACATAGTAACCATGACGGATGAGCACCAAACACCATTGGTGACGATCAATATCTGCAGTGCAGAAATTTCAATGCACAGAGACGCCTTTGTGACATTTAAGAAAATACATTTTCCTTCCCAGCTCTGTTCTTATTGCTTTGCTTCATTGTCACACACACACACACACACACACACACACACACACACACACACACACACACACACACACACACACACACACACACACACACACACACACACACACACACACTCAGTCTTTCACCATGTAGGAGCAGCCGGTCTGCAGCCAGGCTTTGCTGCACTCAGCAGAGTTTAGACATAGTAAATAATTTACACTCGCTGGTTGGCACACTGCTTGAATCTGTCTATGTGTGACAGTGGCTGTGAGTGGATGGGCCCACGGTTGATGTATGACTTTTTTCACTTTTATCAATCACGAACCTCCTGTTGTTGGTCGTGTCCACTTGTCAAACATCCCTTCTTCCTTACGTCCATCTGTTTGGAAGATGTTGTAGAGGCCCTTTGTTTGTAATCCCCACATCGAATCAAAGGAAAGTCGCCACATGTTGAACTGCAGGTTGTTATTTTTGGTCTTGTGTAGTACTGATGCGCTCTACGAGATGCTGGTAGAGGAGTCCTGGGTGTCTAGTGGGAGGTTATGACCAGAGGAAGAAACAAGCTGAGATGGATTCATCTGTTTTTGTTGTTTTGATTTCTGTGTTTCATGCTCCTGGGGGGCTGGACCTTTTCCCTCAGACTGATGATCAGACCTGTGGAGAGGCTTCCTTAGCCTCCCTTTTCTTTGATTAAAAATGAGATAGGAGAAAACCACAGTGGGAGATAAAGAACATAGAGGTTGTGTAATTGTGTGACTGAACAGGGTGGTCGGCGTGTGTCTATTCCCGCATCACTTCACCTCAAACACCATAAACTTATGTTGATTTTCAGATTTCACAGAATTCATGCCCTTAAACCTTTAGTCAGAAGTGTGTTTAGGTGTAATTTTCTGCATCAATGATTATTTTGCATTAATTTTAAATTATATGAACGTCAAGGCAACAGTAAAGGGTCAGGCCCCTTTGAAACTTTACATCTTATTTGTGCAATGAAAAAAAATATATTTATGAAATTATTTCCTGTTGAATAAAGAACATTTTATAGAGTATTGTGATGTTATAATGTAAAAATATGAAAGTGAAACTGAGAAAAGAGAGGACTGAAAGTAAATGCTTCTGCTTCAGCACCACAGACAGCTCCATAGACTAGGGACAAGGATTCATGTTTTAATTCCACCAATATTGTTTATTAACATAATAAAGGTCTGACAGAGAAAATGGTGCCCCTGAACTCACTCTGCTACCAAGAACAGAAGACACACACACACACACACACACACACACACACACACACACACACACACACACACACACACACACACACACACACACACACACACACACACACATCTTCTGTTCTTGGTAGCAGAGTGAGTTCAGGGGCACCATTTTCTCTGTCAGACCTTTATTATGTTTAATACACAATATTAGTGAAATTAAAACACGAATCCTTGTCCCTAGTCCATGGAGCTGTCTGTGGTGCTGAAACAGAAGCCTTTACTTTCAGTCCTCTCTTTTCTCAGTTTCACTTTATATATATATGATCCTAATTGATCAGAGCTGTAAAGTTAATGCTGCTGTGTCCTCTTAACCATCTGGTATCAGTTCTGCTTTGGGAAACACATCATTTCTTTTCACCCCATTATTTGTGATCATACCACTGGCAGGGAGGGGGGAATGGGTAAATGACAGCATGAACAATGAGCTCATGATGTCATTTGTATTTTAATGTGCCTCTGAATGTCTGAAACACCATCTATGTGACTGAAAATGTCAGTGATGAGTAGGAGGAGATTACTGAGAGAAGAATATCATGAATGTGGTGAATTTAGAGCAATTTATTTAACTGTTGGAGAGGATTCAAGAAGACGGAGTCTCATGTGAGCGTGTTTTTATTATTGTGGGCTCTTCCTGGAGAGGACGGGCATTTGGTGCTGCTAGGGCAACACTACTGTGACCTGCTTTCTTGTTCAGAGTGTTCTCTTCCTGAGGGATGTAACTCTGGGAGGAGGGGAGAAATTCTGGCCAAGCGAGAGAGAGAGAGAGAGAGAGAGAGAGAGAGAGAGAGAGAGAGAGAGAGAGAGAGAGAGAGAGAGAGAGAGAGAGAGAGCTCTTGGTGATTTAGTGAGACAAAAATCACAGCTTGTGTTTACATCACCCTGTGCTTCCTTACTTTCTACTTAAAATGCATCATCAAACACAAGTAAATCCCACAACTCTGTAATGATGATCAATCATGTTTTTTTATTGTCATAAATATATTTTTATAAATCTGCACATAAAACTCACAGTCTGTATATCTTGTTTGTTGAACAGGAGGGAAACAGAAGTCACATCAAATACATGGTTAGTTTTCCAAATCAAGACTGTTTGCTGATAATTTTTTGATGTGAGGATGAAATAACCACAGGAAAATTTAAATTAGCAGACTTTTCATGCTTAGTTTTGCTTTGTTCAATCTTTATTTGCGAGTCTATGTACTAATTTGGATAAATTGTTATCTCTCTGTTTGGATTTCACTGAACCATCAAACATGTTTACAGATTTTTATTTGTCGTTTACGTTCTCCATGAAGAACTTTTGAAGCTTCAGTCAAATTTAGTAATGCCAGTTTTCAAAATGGCTGATAAATTCCTGGAGTGGAAAAATAAATAAAATGCCTAGGTTTTTATTTTATATAAACAAAAAATGTCCAATAACAACGTTGCAATAATCTAAGAAAAGGTGAGTCACTAAGTTAAAAAATGTCTTCATTTTCTGTTCTGCTTTTCATACTCATTTGCTGTCAGATTTTCTAATGTTCTAATATCAAAAGGCACAAAATTCAGCTGGTTGTGGAAATAAACAGATTGAATCTCTCTGTTGCGGTGTGTTGTTCAGCTTCTAAGTGTTAGATTTATTTGGGAGATTTTGTAAATAGAGAATTTGTTTGATATTCTTGATAACTGTCATGCTTTTTGTAATTTACTTTAAAGTATTTGAACTTCAAAGGAGAAATTTGGAGTTTTCCCTCATATGGCACCGCCTAGAGGCAGAAACATGTATTGCACCGTAAGCCCCTCCCTACTTGACAGCCGGAAGCCACAGCTCTCGTTTGTGGTCATGCTCCTCTAGTCGGTCAACAGAGCTAAAACACATAGTTTTACAGTTACTATTCTCGCATTATGCTGTTTATGCGCACATACAGGTGTGGCCAAAAGTGTTGATACCCTTCAGTCAATGAAAAAAAAAACCATAATGGTCATAGAAAGAACTAGAATCAAAAACAAAAATAAATGAAAATTCTATGAAAAAAACTATGAAGGTCAGATATTGCTTTTCAACCATGCTTCAATGGAATTAAACAAATAAAATCATGGATCAGGCCTTTTGAGGCAATCACTGCAATCAAACAGCTCCTATAACTGTTAATGAGACTTCTGCATCTCTCAGCAGGTATTTTGGCCCACACCTCACGATCAAACTGCTCCAGGTGTCTCAGGTTTGAAGGGCACCTATCAGCTCTTTCCAAATATGCTGAATAGGCTTGAGGTCAGGGCTCATAGAAGGCTACATTAGAATAGTCCAATGTTTTCCTCTTAACCATTCTTCGGTGTTTGTAGCTTTGTTTTGGGTCATTGTCCTGATGCAAGACCCATGACCTGCAACTGAGACCAAGCTTTCTGACCGTCACCAGCACATGTCCCTCTAGAATCCCTTGAGAGTCTTGAGATTTCATTGTACCCTGCACAGATTCAAGCCACCCTGTGCCAGATGCAGCAGAGCAGACCCAGAACATAACAGAGCCTCCTCCATGTTTCACAGTAGGGACAGTGTTCTGGTCTTGATATGCTTCCGTCGGTAGAGCTGATGGGCCTCGGCAAAAAGTTTTACTCCAGTCTCATCTGTCCGTAGGACATTCTTCCAGAAGCTTTGTCACTTGTCAAAGTGTAGGTTGTCATATTCCAGTCTGGCTTGTATGATTTGTTTTCAACAATGGTGTCCTCCTTGGTCGTCTCTGCTTTTGCTAAAACAGTGACAGATGGTGCAATCTGACACTGATGTTCCTTGAGCTTGAAGTTAAATTTGGATCTCTTTCGAAGTTTTTCTGGGCTCTTTTGTTATCAATCAGATTATCCGTCTCTTTGATTTGTCATCAAATCCCTGCGGCCACATCCAGGGAGGTTGGCTACAGCCCCATGGATCTTCTGAATTATATGTGCAACAGTAGTCACAGGAACATCTAGCTGCTTGGAGGTGGTCTTCTAACCTTTACCTTTAACATGCTTGAAGCATGGTTGGAAAGCAATGTTCTGACTTTCTTTGGTTAAATTTCATAGAAATGTTTATTTGTTATCACTTTTGTCAGATTCAAATTATCTCTGTGACCCTTGTGTTTTTTTTTTATTAATTTATTTTTTTGACCAAAGGGTAGCAACAATTTTGCCCATGTCAGTAAAAAGGTCACCAACTCTGCATCTGTCTAGACACATCCACACACACTCCGTGACTGACATCTGTACGGAAGCGGATGTCTAAGGCCGAGCGATGCTCAGTTCAAAGTGCGTGGGTGTCTACGAGACGGGGGGCGGGCCTAGCAAACAAACTGATGTGACAGGGTAGAACCATCACTTTTAGAGATTTCTAAAAGTTCATACATAATTCCTGAGGAAGGGAAAATCCATGATGGCTGCTTTAACTCAGGTCTTTGAGATCAGCTGTGTGATTTTGGTTTGGACTTTGATTCCAGAATCACGGTTTTTGCTTTATTTGCCAGACGAGCGATGATCAGCCCAAACATAACCCACAAAAGAGCTAATTGAGTTGCTCACAGTGGTAATAACATATCTATAAACATGTGGCAGCACAAAACCTCTCAGGTATTCTTTCTTTGAGGCATCACTTTGGCCTCTGATTTCATGGCAGAACATCATCACACTTCATGATAAATCATCCAACAATTACTTTGATCTGACTCAGGAGCTCCAGCTGGAGTGGCTGAGTAAATCTTGTCAGATGTGGTTAGGGCTGTGCATCAGCACGGTGTCAGGACTGGACTCTGAGATGAGCTACATCCTGCCTGACTCTGATTGGCCAGAAGGATGTGCTCGCTGACTCTCACAGATAAGATGTCTGTTTTTGTGCGACTCACAGGGTGAGATCATCAGTATGCACCACATGATGGAGTGGGGCAGCTTCACTTACAGCGGGCAGATCGTTTGTCTGAGAGGAGACTTCTTAATGTAATAACTGTGCTATGGGGGTGGGGGGTGGGGGTGGGGGTGCTGCTATCCAGACCCTCTAATCACTCTGCTGACCATGGAGAGGAGCCTCCGTGTAGACACCAGAGATGTTTGTGACACATGGATGATAAGCTTCTATTTCTAGAAGCTTTCCGAATCTGTGTCAGCTCTAAATCTGGTCTTTCTTCTGCTGCTGCACGTTAACGATCACAATCACGATGCAAACTCGTCACCAAACAGCAGCAACCCGCCACAGCAGCTCAGCAAGAACAGAAACGAACACGGTATTTTCCAACGTAGCCTGAAAACCTAACTAACGAACTCTTGAACAGTCAATGAAACATATGTTGCTGCTCCAAAAGCTGAATCTCTCCATGCTGGACATAAAACGCTGCTCTTCGTGTGATTCCTTCTCATGTGTCAGGACGAAAAAGTGTCACACGGCGCTTTTACGGATAAGGAAAATAACGGACGGGTCAAAATTCAATACCCAATAAGTAAGGAACATGAAAACATCTCCGCTAATATTCTGTTTAGGATCACACTTATAATACAGATAATTTAAAATAATGATAGTAACAAATAAAAAAAATGTTACTTTGTTTCTTCACCAGCTGATCTTTTGTTCTTTTTATTTTTTTGTGTGAGTAAAATAAACATGCAAAAACCAATTTAAATGCAACAAAGCATTCATCTAATTTTAAATGAAGCAGAATGTTGATGGATGCTTTTGAATTATGCAAACTGATCTATAATCCATTTAGGGTTTTTTTGTGTTTCTGTGAAACGTTTCACTGTTGTTTATTTGTGTTAGACTAACTCTCCCTGTCATGAAAAATGTGAATATTGACACCATTGCTAAAGGCATTTAATAGAAAATGTGAGTTAAATCTTTCTATAAAAGATCCATCTTACAAATAGTGTTTCATAGTTAAGAACAATACATATATATATATATATATATATATATATATATATATATATATATATAAACATATTTTGAAACATTTTTCACTGAATTATGTTGAAATTAATATTTCATGAAATCCTAAAGACCATTGAAGTTGTGGCTAAATGTTTTACAGTACTTAAAATAAGTCTGAATGACTTCCTTGTCTCTCCACAAAATCTAGGATTTTTGGGATGTTTTCCATTCTTTGCAAATCATTTTTCATTATATAGAGTTTTATTCTAAACCTCCTGCAGTTGGTGCTTGTAATGTCAGTAGAGATGTTGTTTTTATCCTGTCTGTAAGCTTCCATGCACGGATAAATGACAGAAGTTTCAATCTCTCAGGTTACAAAGCTCTCCTAAAGTGTCTGTCGGGACGATTTTGCAGCAGAGAGCTGATCGGCATCATGGGTCCTTCTGGAGCAGGGAAATCCACTTTGATGAATATTTTGGCAGGATACAGGTGAGACTTCTATCTCCGTTGCACAAATCGCTTATAGCATTATAGAAGATTAGCTGGAAAGGAATTTTACTGAGTTATGTAAAATTAAAATGAACAGACATGAGCTTTTTCAAATTTGAAACAGGGAAACTGGAATGAAGGGCACGATCCTGGTGAACGGCCGGCCGAGAGATCTCAGGACCTTCAGAAAGATGTCATGCTACATCATGCAGGATGACATGCTACTGCCACACCTCACAGCAAGGGAGGCCATGATGGTGAGGGCATAAAAGAAACTTTAAACATCTCCTAATCTTTAGCAGAGAACAGTTGTATAGCTGTGAGACGAGTTTTGTCTGTTTTTCAGGTTTCTGCCAATCTGAAATTAAACGAGTCCATGCAGGTCAAAAAGGAACTTGTGAGTCTGAATGTTTATTTTATTTATATAATTAATATCACAAATATACCATACCATACCATACCAAGATTATTTGCATAGCACATATAAACACGGCATGAGAGCCGACCAAAGTGCTGAATAATATCTGTGTTTGCACAGGGCCATTCAAGGTTTAACTGTGGGTTGATAAGATGTTTGGAGACATAAAGTCTCAATTTGATCAGAAATTCCACATTCCTCTAACTAAAGTCAAAAAGTAAAATAAAAACCAAACTTTTTTACCGTTATGTGTTCTAGTTGGTAGAAAGCAGGCAGACAGTAACTTTATCCATATGGACTTTTTTACAGCAGGAGGGACAAGCATACACCCAGCATTTATTTTGCAACCATCAGCAGAACTTCCTCTGAACTCTACACTACACCTCTATAAATATTAGCAGGTGCTCTGCTGCCACCTAGTGTTAAGTTCAGTACACAACAATGTTCCATGTCTATTTACCAGAGGTAGAAAGTAATGAATGACATTTACTCACATTGCTTTGATTGAGTAGCTTTATGTGTATTTATACTTTGAAGTTGTTTTTAAAGTCTGTACTTTTACTTGAGTATATGTTTTTTTAATGTACTTCGCTACATTTTCAGTGATATTCATTACGGAGTAAATAAAATGTAGGCTTAATAAATAAAATTACTTTGCTTTGCATAATCGAAACGGAAAGAGAGACACCTGCATGAGCGCTGCGTGTCACCCATGGGGGGTGTGGGTGTACACTTTTTATAATGAGGATGTCGAAACAACCACACTTTTCCCGCAGTTTTTCTAAAAAACACCAGTCCAGTCACTGTGATGCACTCATTATTTACCCCTCTCTCCCTCCCTCTCCTGTTGGTTGAAACCTGCACATTCGCACACTGGTGTTACGTTGGTATTCTGCTTGGTTTGGTAACTGGACTCAGTTCTGTCTTTGAAATGTGTTTCCTGGGCGCCAAAAGGCGTATTCTGACAGGATGGACGTTACGGGATGCTTAAGGATTCCATTTGGATGATTGTGATGATTATTTAGGAGGATTGGAATGAACAAACTGATTTCAGTGGTGAACGGTTAAATAAGTGAGTGAACCCACTACCAAGGATGAACTCTGCTAACTTTAAAAATCACCAGCTCTAAATAAGCATGCAGTTCCGAGAGGAACACTAGGATGGACATGGATAAAGGAATTGTAATGTAGAGGTAAAGTTGGGCAGGGCTAACGTTAGCATACGTTCCATTTAATATGTTTGAATTTCATTTGGCTTGTTAAATTATGTGACAGGTTAGAGCTCAGTCTCATGTTAGAAGTTTGTTATGAAAACACTGAGATACCTCACATGCTGATGGCATCAGAAAAAATAAACGTTTTTGTCAAAATAATTAAAATTTCCTGGAAAAACTTAATCTAATTAATGTGCATGTCCTGTTCTCACTGATTGGATCAAAATCCCTCCATCAAACTGTGTGTGTGTGTGTGTGTGTGTGTGTGTGTGTGTGTGTGTGTGTGTGTGCGTGTGCGTGTGCGTGTGCGTGTGCGTGTGCGTGTGCGTGTGCGTGTGTGTGTGTGTGTGTGTGTGTGTGTGTGTGTGTGTGTGTGTGTGTGTGTAGCTCACAACACACTCGCGCGTGTGCACATGCAAGTCTGTTGTGAGCTAGCATTGTGATTTTGCATTACTTAGATGTAGCCATCCTTATGTTGACAAAAAAGTAACTAAGTAACTTTTACTTTGAGTCATTTTATTTACGATACTTTTTACTTTTATTTGAGTAAAAATTTAGGCAAGTACTTTTACTTGTACTTGAGTGAAAAAATCATCAAAGTATTTGTACTTGTACTTAGGTAGGAAATTTTAGTACTCTTTCCACCTCTGCCATTTACACTCAATAACACATATACTAATATTTACACATCCCAATAAATGCTGCAATGGTTATTTTTATAATGAGGCCAAAGTATTCAAACAGACCTTATGGTTACAGAAATATACTCATTAAAGTGTGGGTAATTTCATCTGTGCCTCATTGACATTATTTTTTATTTAAAAAAATGTGATTAAAATGTGATTAATCAAGAATAATCAATTACAAAGCCCCTGATAAATTAAATAAAATTTTTAAATTAAGTCCCAACTCTTGTAAAACACAATAAAACCCAGTTACAATATTTCAATCTGGTCACAAGAAAGACCTGTATAACAGACTCCAAGGTAACTGAAGACACACTTTAAATATTATACATCTGTTTCTTCTCTTTTGTCCAAGGTGGATGAGATCCTGACAGCCTTGGGCCTACAGGAATGTGCACAGACCCGCACCAATTCTCTCTCGGGGGGTCAGTGTAAAAGGCTGGCCATTGCTCTGGAGCTGGTCAATAACCCTCCAGTCATGTTCTTTGATGAGCCCACCAGGTAGCACCTGCCAATCTCACCTGAGATGTTTAAACCAAACAAATCCTTCCTGATGCCTTTTTCATGAAACGTTCTCCTCTGTAGTGGTCTGGACAGCGCTTCGTGCTTCCAGGTCGTTTCCCTCATGAAGTCCCTGGCTCAGGGAGGACGGACAATCATCTGCACCATTCATCAGCCCAGTGCCAAGCTCTTTGAGATGTTTGATAAGGTAAGCTGAGTGCTTTTCCCGCCATAGACGTCTAACTTCCATTAGCTGCTGCTCAGACCAGGACACCACGAATTGGCATGATTCATCTTTACACAGCAGGAGCAGCGCAGCAGTCGATGACGCGTCCTGCTGTCTTGTTGCCAATTGATCTCTTTTTCAGGGAGGCACTGTGCTGGAAAATATGTTGACTGTGTTCTTTTGTTGTTTTTCCACCAGCTGTACATCCTCAGTCAGGGTCAGTGCATCTACAAGGGAACCGTTCCTTATCTCATCCCTTATCTGAAGAACTTAGGCCTTCATTGTCCAACATACCACAATCCTGCTGATTTCAGTGAGTCCCACATGTCCTTAAGGACAAGTCTGCATGTTTGTAAAGGTCAACCTCATAGAAACATTTTTAAATTGTTTCTCATTATGATTAGTCACTCTGCATTTTCCATGCAGGCTGAACATGAAAATAGTCTCCTACACCTACCTCCTGCATTAGCTTCTGATAGAAAATAGACGGTGAAACTCTAGAACAGTGGTACTCAATAGGCGGCCCACGGGCCGGACTCGTCTCTGACACTGGCTCTGTTTGCTCTGCAACATCCACGTTTTATCTCCACAAATAACACAAGCCAGGAGGAGTTTTGCTGTGTGGTGGAGTTGCTAATGATAAATGATAAATGACCCGCACTTGTATAGTGCCTCTCAGAGTAAGGACATCAAAGTGCTTTACGCTACAGTGTATCATTCATCCATTCACACACACCTGCCCTGGGGCGCACTGACATAGGCGAGGCTGCCGAGCACAGGCGCCACCGGTCCCTCCGACCACCACCAGCAGGCAAGGTGGGTTAAGTATCTTGCCCAAGGACACAACAGCAGGATTCTCTATCCAGAGCCGGGATTGACCCTGTAACCTTCCGATTACTGGACAACCCGCTCAACCCGTTGAGCCACTGCTGCCCCAAATACTAATGGTTAGCTTCTGCTAGCCGAGACGTTCTCTGCTGTTTCCTGGACGCTAAACCAACAACAGCCTTCCCCGTCATGAGTCAAGATGGGTGAGTCCGTGAATGTTAAGTGACAGTGTGACGTAGATCTGTCAGGATTTTCTCATCCTAGAGTTTCACTGTCTGTTTTCTATCGGGAGCTAAAGCAGGAGTTAGGCGTAGGAGACTATTTTCATAATCAGCCTGCATGAAAAACTCAGTGACCCATTCTAATAAAAAATAAGATAAAAAATTTAGTTTGTTTTTTTTCAGTGTTCCATACATTTAAAAATAAAAGTAAAGTTGACCTTTAAGGTATATTTTTTTCACGGTAACATCTCATCCTGCTTTCCAGTTATTGAGGTGGCATCTGGAGAATACGGAGACCTGAACCCGGTTCTGTTTGAGGCGGTCCAGGGTGGACTGTGCTCAGAAGAGGGCAAGAAGAACTCCAGAGACAAAAGTGACTCTTCTTGTCCTTCTCAGTGCTACACTGTAAGTGACGACCACCATTTGACTCCACAGATGCATGGTTAGATTTAAATTAGACATTGTAAGAGTAAGACGCACAAGCCAAGCTATTGAAAAACGCTAAATTGAGTTCTGCTGAACTGTAGATCTAGTCCTATGACCATCTGTCACACACATTTTTATGCAACTGTTAAATGGGTTATCCATTTCTTATGTAAAAAATGTTGTAATTTTAGTTAAATCTTAATATTTCGATATTATGCCCAACTTTCCTTGACATCGCAAGATTTTAGCTCAACATCAACAAAATTGAGTTCCTGGCTGTTTAATATGTTTGCTAACGTTGGCTAGCTATGGTGGCCATGTTGAATTATTTTGAATCCAAGGGTTTTCACATCATGATCATCTTGTGCTTGCACACAGAGGCAAAAACATCATGGCTCACCGTTCACCTTTTAGCATTGGGAGATAGATCTAACACCGGTCCAGTTATTGTGTCATTTTTGCTTTCCATAAACATTTATCAGACTAATAATAAAAAACTCTTTGATGAAGTTCTTGATCTTTTTGTAGATTTTTCAGTCATAACTTTACTCCCCTGCTCATTTATACCTAATGCAGCGCCTGTGTCACCAGTGTAAGATCCTTTATTCACACACTTCAGTCACATTTAAGATAACGAGGCTAAATATTTTTAAATCTGTGCTTGAAATATAAGATCCCAGCCAATTTGGAGATGACTTTGCAATGCTGCAGCACATATTAGCTTCCTTTTCTTTAAACATCAGGAACTAATAGGTTACATAAGCCCTCGGTTCTGGGTCAAAAACCAGGGCAAGCAGTTCATTTATTTTATTTTTTTGCATGCGTCTATTACTGCTTACTGCAACTAAAGATTTAGCATATTGCACTACAAAGGGAAACACTGTACCTTCTACTTAACTCATTGTTTTTCCACAGGACACGGGAACCCTTGAGAAGCATAGCTTTGCCACGAGCACATTCACACAGTTCTGCATCCTCTTCAAAAGAACCTTCATCACGATATGCAGGGACACGGTAAACATCCCCTTCTTCACTGCTTTGATCAGTTTTTCCCTATTTTTAGGCAATAACAGGCTGTGATGATTATTTTCCAGGTGCTGACCCATCTCAGGGTTATGTCCCACCTGTGTATTGGAGTCCTTATCGGACTACTTTATCTCAAAATTGGAAATGATGCAAGCAAGGTCTTCAACAACACTGGTTTCCTTTTCTTCTCCATGCTGTTCCTCATGTTTGCTGCGCTGATGCCAACAGTCCTGACCTGTAAGAGCCTCATGAGATGCTGGAAACACATTTGTTTTTCTGACTCAGGTACAGAATTATTTTAACTACACTTCCGTTCCACAGTTCCTCTGGAGATGTCCGTGTTTATGAGGGAACATCTTAACTACTGGTACAGCCTCAAGGCCTACTACTTGGCTAAAACTATGGCAGATGTACCATTCCAGGTATTGTTAGTGTGATTTAACACTTACAATTCAAAAATGCATGAATAATTCTCATTAATGGCACTGAAAACATGTCTTTCACAGGTGATTTGTCCAATTATGTACTGTAGTATAGTGTACTGGATGACGGAGCAGCCTGCAGAGGCGGGTCGATACCTGCTCTTCATGGCCTTGTCGACCTCCACGGCCCTGGTAGCTCAGTCTCTGGGTCTGCTCATAGGAGCTGCATCCACGTCTCTACAGGTGGGAAAACCTGTCAAATCTCTTTCCATCGGATTGAAAATGCATCACCAAAAGCAAAACCAATTATTTTTGTTTTGTTCTGATGAATTGTGGCTTCATCTCCTAACTCCACATGGCAAGATTGTTAAATGGTGAATCAAGTTTCAAAACATAACAGACCCCACATCTGGCAATAAATGCATCACGGATATACCAGTTTTGCACCTACACGAGTACTAGTGGATTTCATTAAATGCCATAAATATAATTTATAAATTGTGCATATTTTCATTAGACAAATTAAAATGAATGAAATATAAGAAGTTTTTACTAGCATATAACTACTCTCTTGTTGGATTATACTGACATAGAATAACTCTTAAGCCTAGGGCACACCGGAGACAGACACACCGCACCTCGGTTTTAAGAAGTAAAGTGGTCACACAGGCTTACAAGGCATTCATTCCTACTAGAGACCACTACAGATGTATCGATTAGACATCTTTAAGGTTTTAGAAACATGAACGTGCAGCGAAGAGGCGAGTTTCAGTTTAGTTTTACAACAGTGAATTAAAACAGACACTAGGGGGTGCTAAAAGCAAGCCAGATCTGTAAAGTTTCCCTTTAAACTGACTGTGCTCCTGTTTTAAGAAGTTTAGGGTTATTTAATAGATTTTATTTTTATTGGTTTTAATTTTACTTTATTTCCTAAGCTTGTTCTATGTTCTAAATTTGTATTGTGGTGTTCATCACTTTGTTCTGCCTCTGGGTCGTGTGAAAGTGCTCTTTGTCAGACTGGTCGGCTGGATTCGGGAGTTGAGCTTGTAGAGAGCGTGGTTTCACAGACGCAGACGTGATAGCGTCGGTGAAACGCCGGCTCACGATTTAATCTAGGAATCCCTGAGCGTTCGAGCGTCAATGAAGTGACACGGAGATGCTGGGTTTTCCAGAAGTAAGTAAGAACACTTACTGTGAGCGGATAGTTTGTAAGATGGATCGGTTGATTGGAAACTCTGATCATGGATCTGAAGAAACGATGACTGAGTGGTGAGCTGGGGAGGCGACTTCCTTATATAGTCGCGGTTAGTGACGTAGGTGTGACGTGGAGGGAATCCCCGCGAGGAGCATGCTGGGAGATGTGGTCCATGGTGGAGATCGGCAGGTACAGCAACTTCGGGCTCCTGGTGGGCGAAGACCGGGGGCTGGTAGCCATAGCAGACCTCGAAAGGGGACATATGAGTGGTTGAGGAGGTGTGAAGATTGTGGGACAACTCTGCCCAGAGGAGGTATTTAGGCCATTGCGAGGGTTGGGCTGAGACAAAGCACCGGAGGTACCGACCCAGCTGTTGGTTAACCCGCTCCGTCTGACCATTGGTCTGCGGGTGATAGCCTGAGGATAGGCTAACCGATGCTCCCATTAGGTGGCAAAAGGCTTTCCAGAATCGGGCCGTAAACTGGGGACCCCGGTCGGAGACCACATCGACAGGGAAGCCATGGAGGCGCACCACGTTCTCCAGGAATAATTCCGCCGTGCGTCTGGCCGAAGGGAGACCCGTAAGGGTGATGAAGTGGACAGCTTTAGAAAACTGGTCAGTGACCGTGAGGACCGTGTTGAGGTTGTTGACCAGGGGGAGTCCTGTGACGAAATCCAGACCCACGTCAGACCAAGGACGGCTGGGCACCGGAAGAGGTCTGAGGACACCAACAGGGGCCTGGCTGGGTGTCTTGGAGCGGGCGCAGATGTCACAGGCACTAGTGTATTCCTTAACATCCCTCGCCATGCATGGCCACCAGAGTGCTTGTTGGAGGAACTTTAGAGTTCGAGAGAACCCCGCGTGGCCAGACAGGAGTGACGAGTGGGCCCAGGAGAGTGCCTCGCTGCAACAGGATGTAGGGACATAGAGACGACCCGCGGGAGTCTCTGGAGGAGTGGGGTCGTCTCGGAGGGCGTTCTGGATAGCCTCCTCCAACGGCCACCTTAGGTGGGCCAGGAAACGGTGCTCTGGGAGAATTGGTGCAGGCTCGGACATCGGCGTGGAGTGTGTGAACTGGCGGGAGAGGGCATCAGCCTTCTGGTTCTTAGTTCCAGGGCGGTAGGCGAGATGGAACTCATAGGGCTCGAAGAAGAGGGTCCAGCGGGCCTGGCGAGGATTGAGCTGCTTGGCGGATCGGATGTGAGTCAGGTTCTGGTGGTCTGTCCAGATAGTGAAAGGCTGGGTGGTGCCTAGAAGCCACTGTCTCCACTCCTCCAGCGCCCATTTTATGGCCAGCAGTTCACGATCACCCACGCCATACTTCTGCTGGGTGGCGGAAAACTTCCTAGAGAAGTAGGAGCAGGGATGGAGTCTGTTGTCGGGCCCGCCTTGGGACAGGATGGCACCGGCACCGACGTCCGAGGCATCGACTTCGACCACAAAGGGCTCCGTAGTCTCTGGATGGCGGAGGATAGGGGCCGACGTGAACCGGGTGACCAGGTGGTGGAAGGCCCGAATGGCGTCTGGAGTTAGACAGAACGGTTGGCCGGGTGGGCTTGGTCGGGTGAGGGAGGTGAGCGGTGCCACAATGGTGCTGAAGTTCTTAATAAAACGGCAGTAAAAGTTGCAGAAGCCCAGAAAACTCTGTAGCTGTTTTAGGCTCATAGGAAGGAGCCAGTCAGTTACCGCCTGGACCTTCTGAGGGTCCATGGTTATGCCCTGATCCGAAATCATGAAGCCCAGGAATGAGATGGTCCGCTGGTGGAAAGAGCATTTCTCGGGCTTGCAGTATAGGTTATTGTTCAGGAGCCGGGTCAGGACGGCACGAACATGGTGGAGGTGTTCAGCCTCGGACTTGGAGTAAATTAGGATGTCATCCAGGTAGGCAAACACCCACCGGCCCAGCATGTCGCGGAGGACATCGTTATTGAAACGTTGAAATACGGCGGGGCTATTGCACAACCCAAAGGGCATGACCTGGTACTCCCAATGACCGGTGGGTGTGATGAATGCGGTCTTCCACTCATCCCCAGCTTTGATGCGGACCAGATTTTAGGCACTCCGGAGGTCCAGTTTTGTGAAGATCCGTGCCTGGGAGATGGAGTCCAGAGCAGTCGTGAGGAGTGGCAGGGGATGGCGGTCCCTGATAGGGATCTTGTTTAGACCCCGGTAATCTATACAGGGATGAAGGTCACCTTCCTTTTTCTTCACAAAGAAGAAGCCTGCAGCACCCGGGGAAGAGGAGGGTCGGATGAAACCCTCAAACCCCAACCTCTCCGTTCCACCTCTCCGGTAGGCTGAACTGCGGCTCCTCCTTAGGTGGAGCGAGGGCTTGCTGCTGAAGAGCATTGATGGATGTGGATAATTGAAGGGTGAGGTCAGTCAGAGAGTTCACCTTGGTGTTGAGCCGGTCGACCAAGGCGTGAAGCTGAACAATCTCATTCCTCATTCGCTCAAACTCCGCTGGGTTAAGAGACTCAGTCATCCTGTCAGACTGGTCGGCTGGATTCGGGAGTTGAGCATGTAGAGAGCGTGGTTTCGCAGATGTGGAAGTGATAGCGTCGGTGAAACGCCGGCTCACAATTTAATCTAGGAATCCCCGAGCGTTCGAGCATCAATGAAGTGACACGGAGATGCTTTGTTTTCCAGAAGTAAGTAAGAACACTTACTGTGAGCGGATAGTTTGTAAGATGGATCGGTTGATTGGAAACTCTGATCATGGATCTGAAGAAATGATGACTGAGTGGTGAGCTGGGGAGGCAACTTCCGTATATAGTCGCGGTTAGTGACGTAGGTGTGACGTGGAGGGAATCCCCGCGAGGAGCATGCTGGGAGATGTGGTCCATGGTGGAGATTGGCTAGCTGGGAGAGGCTGGCTTGGGGAGTTGGGTTCTGACACTCTTCATAAATGATGATGATTGTTACCAGCATCAATGACCTTTACAAACATAAAACTATGTCTGAGCAGCTGAAACTATATGATGAACATAACTTACCATCGACCTAACTCTAGGCACCTTCGTTCACCTGGAAACGCCACCACACCGCTGACATGGCTACTCCTCTGCTACCCGGCTGCGTAAAGTCACGCTGCCGCACAATGCTGTTGGCTTCTTCTTCTTTTTAACGAGGCTTGCATTTCAGTTCTAACTTCCTGTTAGAACATTGTGTGCAGACTAATAATTTTAGAGGGACACAAAGATCCCATCACACTGGTTTCAGGCCTGTAATGTGGAGCACTTTTATCAGCACAAGTGTGAGTACACAGGGTATCGGGCTGATGCTGATATCGGCATCGGTGCATCCCTAGTTTCCAACGTTGTTTAGTATTTTAAACTTTGCACATCTAAGCAGTTGATTAAATGTAATAAGATGCCTCATGAGGCGTTAAGCTGTTACTCACCTGTGGACTTCTATTTCTAATGAAAGTTGTAATTTTATTTCACAGGTTGCTACTTTTGTAGGTCCAGTCACAGCCATACCTGTCCTCCTCTTCTCTGGTTTCTTTGTCAATTTCGACACAATTCCAAAATACCTTCAGTGGAGCTCCTACGTCTCCTACGTCAGGTACTGTCAGAGTTCACATTTCCAACACTGTTAAGTTTCATTATGTTCAGGTAATTATTTTAAACAGACCCTGTGTTAATGAGTTTGTCCAAACTGACTGCTCTCAGATACGGCTTTGAGGGGGTGATACTGTCCATCTATGGGATGAACCGCTCTGAGCTGGAGTGTCCGGACACTATGTGCAAATTCCAAAAACCAGAGGAGGTCCTGCAGCTTCTGGATGTGGAGGATGCAAAGCTTTATGTTGACTTCATGGTTCTGGGGGTCTTCTTTCTCATCCTTAGACTGGCCACCTACTTTGTTTTGCGCTACAAAGTCAAGTCGGAGCGTTGAGACATCCAAAGGACAACACCGAACTCAGCAGCGTGATAAAACATATCGCTTCTCCTTTCTTTGTCTCTCCTTTACATTCCCACAGACACAAATCCAGCTCCTACGATCATCAGAGACCTGTGCTGCACCCCAACAGCACCACCTCACACAGACTGAAGGGGTTTGGTTAACAAAAGAATAGAAAATGGTTCCTGCGCCTTGATGGTTCTGAAAAATAAAGATGAACTGCATCAAGATGACGTATTGCAGATCTACGGGAACCAAACAAAGTAGCATGTTTCATTAAACCTGAAAAAAAGAACATGTCCATGTAAAGAGCTTCATGATTATGGAAAACAGCCTCCAACCAGTTCCTCTTAAGGGTATCCAGTACAACTTCAGAGTCAGACCAGTTGCCCTCATATAAACGGACCCTGTCCATGGGATTAAACCTCTTGGATGAAGATCTTTACAGAAACAAGTCCAGGTCAAGCTGAACATGCTGACTTGTTTTAATCAGACCGACTGCCACTGGATGACTTTCACTTGTCTGCTCCACCCCTGATGGTGGTTTGAATCCCGGATGACCCGTCTGTGAACTTCGACCACACCGTCCAGTCCGTTCTTCCTTCCTGTTGTTTCTTTTTTGCCGTAACAGAGGGAGGAGTCAGTGAGCTGGAAGCTAAATGTGAACCTGAGCCTCCAGCCTGATGCAAGAACCTGTTCTAAAAGTCTCAATGACATTCCAGAGAGAGAGTGCAACAGCTCAAACTGCAGGTTTAAAAGAAAATGTGAAGTTTGTCCAATCCGTGTCCCTGGTTTGACTCTGCTCTTCTTTTAAGTGCTCGTTTCCTCTTGTTGTATGACTCTTCAGCTGCCTCCTTTCCATCCTGAGCTACTAAAATAACGTCCCCTGTCCTTCTCCTCATCTTCCTCTCTGCTTCGCTGATGTCTGACACACGTGTGTTGTCCAAAAACGATGCTAGATACTTGAAATGCTGGCTTTTTCTGTGCCTCTGAACTATAAACGATTTATGTTTCCTCTGCTTTGTTGTTTTTGGACTGCTTATGTCCACCTACCTGGTTGTCTCACACACTGAACATACCTCACACACACACACACACACACACACACACACACACACACACACACACACACACACACACACACACACACACACACACACACACACACACACACACTCACCACCATTTAGAAGAGCCTCTCCTAGTCACACAACAATGCAAATATTTTCCAAAAGACTTGTCATGAAATATTTGGTACTCATACTATGCTACGTAGTAATCCTTATGATATAATGCATTACATAATGGGAGTATATAACCAATGATTGTACAGTGAGTATGTCATGCTGTAAACAAATGTATATTTGCACTTTCAGTGTTTGTTCTTTTTTATTTATTTGTAATTTAGTTTATTTTTATATATTAAGACGCGCTGCTTGGAAGAATCGTGGGTTTTAAAAACAAGCACCTGAATGATGTTCGATCACTTAAAGGATGACTTTTTAAAATAAATATATCAAAGTTCAGAGAGCAGCAAAAAGGATTTGAGATCTTTTACCCAGATGTTTGATCCGACATGGGGGAAGAAATGTAAATCTTCTGCTTCTTCTGCTGAACAACTGTGGATTGCTGGTTTTAAATGAGGAGAGAGCATCAGAGGTGGTCATAAATGTGCCAGAATGAGTCGACGGTGAGCAAAATGTAGCTGAAGAGGGTCAGAGAGAGAGAGAGAGAGACGGCTGCAGCAGCAGGCTTGTTTCTGTCATCACAGCAATAGTCCACATCGTGATGTTGTTAGTTTCCTCCTCCTGCTGTTGCTCCAGCCCCTTGATCAGTCCTGACTTCCTGTTGGGTTTATTATGTGCAATAACATCCAAAGGTATGTGCAGACTCTCCTTTTGTTGTGTTTTTGTATCTTTTGTTTATTTGATTTGTGTCCTGGATTCATTTCGTTCATTCTCCTGGGCAGACCTTGCTGTTTTAATGATGGGAGTTGCAACAGAAGAGAAATCTGATTTCTGACTCCAGGAGTAGGTGACGTTTGGTTTGGTCGTTTTAAAATGCTTCTGTTCTTCTCCATGAGTTTGTTTGGCAACAACTGCAGCTTTTTGATGAAGTTGGCCTCGATAAAAACTAGAGAATGCAACAAAGGTCCTCGGAGCTGTTCCCCAGTCTCTTTGACACTTTTGTCAACTCACTCTTTCATATGTTTTTATAATAATCCACCAGACTGAAATGCACTTGTCCTGCATGGTAAACAGTATGATTCAGGCTCTTTTGAGAAATAACAAAGGGGATCAGAGTTTTTTTAAACCTTGCTTTTGATTTCTTCTCCATTCTTTAATTATGATTTTATTTTGCTCCTCTGTCATTTTTTATGCTTTACAGTTTTATTTATGGCTAGTCAACAAACTCAAGTTCTGTATACTGAATGCTGTTCTAAGGAATTACAATAAAGAGAATTTATAACCTTTGCCTTCGCTCCTTTAGATGATTTGTTCTAAAATCATGAAACCACTGATCTGCTTGTTTGTGTGCTTTTTGCTCGTAGCTGATAATAAACACAACTGGATGTCGTTTTTATTCCCCTCTGTCAGGGACTTGCACAAACCAGCCAGAGTAGCACTGCTGATCGTTCTGAAAACTCCATTTTATTTTGAAGAAACTTCAAAAATAACATAATAAATATATTCATGTAAACTCAGGATATCTCCTGACACGAGATTAGTCGGAATGACACCAGCACAAGACAAACATCATCAAGAAGAAACTTTCAGGCACACCAGGTTCAACTTAAATAGTTGCTGATCCGACTACTCTACAAACAAGAGAGAAACAATTAACATACAATTAACACACACATACACACACACAAATTAACCAGTCTAATCAGTGCAGGTAACTCAAATAACTCAATCTCTCTGCCCTGAATCGGCTGCAGGTCATCGAGAACACTGCTGCCAGGTTCTTGACGAATACACACCGACGTAGCCATATTACCCTTGTCCTGGCACATCTTCACTGGCTCCCTGTCATTTTCAGAGTACAGTTTGTTGTTGACTTTTGTATTTAAATCACTAAACAACCTGGCACCTCCCTATCTCTCTGACCTGCTCACTCCATATAAACCTACACGCACGTTGAGGTCGGCTGTCCTGTTGCTGCTGTGTACGCCGCGGATGCGATACAAATCGCGGGGTGAATGAGCATTTGTGCATGCTGCCCCAAAGCTGTGGAACTCGTTGCCCATTGGAGTTCGGCAGGCTCCATCACTGGCGGTTTTTAAATCTCGTTTAAAGACCCACTTTTACGATTTGGCTTTTAGACAGTGACTCGTTTTAATGTTTTATTGTGTCATTGTTTTAATGTGCTCTTAGTATTCATCATGTTTTATCTGCTTTTGACTGGGATTTTTATCTTCTGTTTTAGTTCCTTCGAATGGTCGCATTTTGTTTTAGCCTGTGCAGCACTTTGGGCAGCTCCCATGCTGCGTTTTAAACGTGCTATATAAATATGGTACGGTATGGTATGGTATGGTATGGTATGGTATGGTACGGTATGGTATGGTAATCATAATTACAAACTCCCTATCCATAAGAGAAAATATCTACATTAAATAAAACATAAGCATAAACATGAATCTCCCCTCCCTTGGGAGTAGATCCCAGGAGTGTTGATTAGACTTCCTGAGGAGATGCAGGTGTGAGACTCCATGGGCAACTCCAAGTCACCGGTAACTCAAATAAAATACAAAATCAACACATGCATTCATAACATCAGAAGACTGATTGTCATCCTAGACAGAACAAAGAAAACAAATAAACATTACCAGAAGTCCATGCACCTGAGGTGACAGACACTGCCATCACATCCTCTAATGTTTGTTTTTCAGTTGAAGTCTTAATGGAAGTGTTTGTTAAGCTGCTAAAGTAAAAAACTGTGATTGAGAGCTGCTTCCTTGAACTTTCATATTTATCTAATTTAGGCACTTTTTAAATTGTGCACAAAGTGTTGATTGGATTTTTAAAGAAAAACATTCAGCCAAGAAAAATATCATCTCTGGAACAATAATTTTTTTAAATATAAAAACCCTCATTGTGTTTGTGACATCATTATTTACGCATCCAAAGCTGTACCCTGGAGTGGAGGAGCAGAATAAATTATAATTTATGAATAAATCTTCTTTTAAAATAGAAAGACAAGCTGCCTTCAGCAGTGCTGTGTCTTATTATTTTAAATGTGACATTAATGAGGCACCAGCGTCTAAATCTACCAGAGATCTAACGAGATGACAACTTCAGGTGCAATTTTATTGTTAATTTTAACATTTTACTGGACACATGAATTTAATCAGATGCTTCTTAACAGCTCATTAAGGAGGGTAAACATGGGGGTTGTGTTCTCCAACATTTCAGTGATGTGCTATTAAATTAGGAAGATTTTCTATTGCACATATTTAGAAACGGATTAAAATCTGATCAAAATTTAAGTTTAGTTTGAATGGTTTGTCATACTTTTTTTTACAGCAGGAAACAATATGGATGTAAACTTGTGATATAGTAAAAACCATTTTGCTTCATAAGCATGTTACTTTGTAAAACTCCCTCTTTCCTAAAAGAAAACAAAACACATTATGTGTCGGCAAAGCTCTCAGCAATTACAGGAAAAACTAATAATCTCACCTTTATAATAATGTGATTAACTGCAGTATTTTTGCTCCCAACAATGGAAGACTGCTGCTCTCGTGTGGCAGATTGGTGCAAAATACACTTGCTTCATAATGCAGTACAAACCTTTTTAACTTCACACACACACACACACACACACACACACACACACACACACACACACACACACACACACACACACACACACACACACACACAGGAAGTTGACTTACCATGTCACTTTAATTTACAAATTAACTAATTGGATCACGCAATCCAAATGTTGTTGTAATCGCTTGGGTCCGCCAGAGGGCGGAAAAATCTTTACTCTAGACAGGATCGAGTTCTCGTGTTCCGTGAAACTGACCTAAATAAAACATATAAATGCCTTATAGACTGAGCTGGTTTTCATCAATTAAATCAAACGACTAAATAATTTTTTTTTAAAGTTCACATAGATAAAAAAGTCAAATAGAACAGCATTTCTATTTTGTTACTGGTTTAGTTGTATATAGTTTTTATTGTAATTATTTGAGTGGTTTATACATTCTTTGTGAAATTCAAATCCATAAATTCTCTTCCTGTTTAAAACAAAATGTGTTATTACTATTAATAACTCAAGTAGTGAAGCCATTCTATTTGCGTTGTTTGCCTCATTTAAGATAGCTCACTAACTTCCGGTGACAGGGCACAAATTACTATCTTGACGTATGTTTTCATCTTTGGCGTGGACCGGCATTTTCCCACAACACCCTGCTGCTGCACTCACAGATGACGAAAATGGTGGACAGCTCGTCTTCGGTAGGTTCTCCAGAGAAACTATGCTACTTTTTAGACATTGACCATTATTTGGTTGTAAAATAACGTTTCATCAACAACAGGTCGAAATTGTCGAAGGCTGTCGCCTACCGGTTCTTCGTAAAAACCAAGAACACGAGGACGAATGGCGTAAGTGTTGTCCGTTTGTTTCCCTGGTGCTAAGCTAATGCTAACTATCGAAGCTCAGCTGGCTGTTAGCAGACACCTCGTCTTCCAGGTAGACAAAAAAACTAAAGTGTTACTAAGATTGAGAAGGTGTGCTAATGTAGAACGCTTTTGAAGCCACTCTTTATTTTTGAGGCTTAACTGTTGAATCCTGTCTGCAGAAGCGTAATCAAATATCTTTATTAAATGTCAACAAACATTCATGTTAATCTTTATTGATTTAGAATATGAACGTTCATTTCTCGCGCAGGAATAAAAACCAACTTCAAATCGTAAGACAAAATGAAGACACTAATAATACAAATGAAATAATTAAGATTTAAAATTAAAATACCAAGTTCAACACACTAAACACTGTTATATCCAGTGTTGGGGAAAGTTACTTTTAAAAAGTAATTAGTAATAGTTACTAATTACTTTGTCAAAAAAGTAACTCACTTACTAACTGAGTTACGAGATTATAAAAGTAACTAATTACCAAGAAAAATAACTACTTATTTACTTTTTTCATTAAAGAATGCAAGAAAATGGGTTAATTGAACTTATTTACTATTAATTACTACAATAGTGAAATATAAATGACTAGTGACTGGAACATAATAAAACGTATGTCAAAATGTTTTTTGTAAACCTGAATAATTTAAATAAATAAGCACTTAACAGGAGGAACAGGAGCATTACACTTATCTAGACTATTAAAAGGTCACTGTGTGATATTTAACAAGACCCCAATCAGCTAAAATTTAAAATTGCAAATAGAAACACCTGTAAAGGTTCCCGAGCCTTTAAATGGTCTCTCAGTCTAGTTAAATGACAGAAATGAATGTAAATTACAGTATTTTAACTTTTCCAACTTCACATAATTGTGTGTTATTGGTAGCATTTCTGTTGCTGATAATCTAGTAATGGTTAAATAAATAAATAAAAATCCTTTAAAATGACAGTAGAAGAGGCACAAATCTGATGGAGGACTTACATTTACTAACGTGGGTCAGACCCAAACACAGAAGAGCTGAAGCTGGGTGGTTCTAATAACACCTGAGCTCCATGACGTTTGAGACTGATGCATCAGTGTTACAGCGGGACTAAAGACGATCAGAAACAGGCTACAGCTGGATGATCTAGGAAGGTAGAAGATCAGGACGTCTGAGTGGTGAACAGGTGAGCGGACCTTCAGGACGTCCCACTGTCACGTTAAAGGGCACGGCTGCAGACCCACACCTGCAGCCGTAGACTATTCATCACGTCTTCCTCGTTCTTCACGGGCCGTGATGCACTTGGATGAAAACATCTGCCTCTTTAGCTCCTGATCAGCTGATGACAGCTTCAACACACCGCGCTGCTTAACGCACACATTTCTTATACGTAACAGAAACGACATTTTGATAAAAGAAGATGGTAATTAATTAGGTTGCTCGTTACTGAAAGAAATATTTTTTTTAGTAACGCGGTTATTTTAACCGGCGTTATTCCCATCACTGCTCTGTTGAGTCTACAGCATGCAGTGACTGAGACAGTGAGGGTCTCCGCCCACCCGGCCAATCATCATCGGGTTTGTAAGTGCGTTACTGACACCTCTCTCTCCCTGGCTGCAGCTGAAGTGTGGCGGTCAGAAAGCCTCACACTGTTGCTCAACGTTCGACAAGCACATAGTAACGCACAACCTTCCATCCCCAGTAACGGTAACGGTGTTGCAACAGTGGGAAAAGTAATTAATTAGATTATTCCGTTACCCAAAAAAAGAACGCCGTTATTTTAAACGGCATTATTCCCATCACTGTTATAGCTGCATAGAAATGCATGGAAGGGCTCTGATAAACTACAGTGTAATTAAACCTGTAGTTTAAACTAGAGGTCGACCGATATTGGTTTGATTGCCGATATGTAAAAGGTCAGCTGATGTCCGATTTGTGCAGCCGATATTTTTATGTCCGATATCTAAATATTTTCACCTTATTTTCATGCTAAAACGTCAGATAACATCAGTTGATGCACAAAATTTCTGAATCAGTTTTTTAACCAACTGTTAAATCCTAATTTTGAACACAGCTCAGTGTTAATATCAGACATTTAAATAAAAGGTAATCAAACAAATCCGTTAAGTGACGTGTCAATTATTTGATATTCAAAACTGGTAAATAAAAATAATTTTGAGTTGGAAATCATTTTTAAAGCAGTGATTAATTTGAAATACTATCTTAAGATATTCTAATAAATAGCGTACTTACCCATTTTTAATAACTAGTGTCTCTCAAAACACGACGGCAAGTCTGATCTCGTAAAAACGAAAGTCATTTTCTGCTTCCTGTTCTCAAGTTCGGCCTGATGTGACTATCGCACGACTTTCCGAGAAGTGCTCAGCGGCGCATCATGTTTGACCACTTGACTTCTCAAAACCGCAATGCTTCTGCCGATTTATAAAGAACGCCAAATATTTGCCTTGTATATCGGTCTACCCCTAGTTTAAGCTGTTATTGGTTTAAAACCTAGTTTGACATCTGTAAAGAGCGCTTCAGGGTTTAAAATGTTACTTATTTTAAGGTTTGCAACAAAAAGAATGCTAAAGTTCTGAATTCTCTTGCACAAATAAATCAAAAGTACTTCAAGTAGGTTAAACAAACATTTTTTACGTTGATAAAGGACAACATTTTGTCACTGTTGATGCACCAAAGCCATAAATATCCATAGAGATGGTTTGTGAATAGAATTATAACATAAATTCTTGTCCTACTTGAGTTTTCTGATAGTTTTAGGAAATAAATCCAACATTTATTTTTATTATTATTTACAGCGTTGGCTGAGATTCTCAGTGTGAAGGAGGTTTCTGGGAGAAAGCTGTACTATGTTCACTACATTGACTGTGAGTACCATTTTCTTTCTGCCAGTGATTTCCACACTCAAGTACCTGTAGATGATTGTTGTTTTAGTTGGGGGGAAAAGTATTGTTTTTATGTATTATTTTAAATCAAATAGAAAAGTCAAGTCGTATTCTTTCATGTGTTTACCAGTCAACAAGCGCCTGGATGAGTGGGTCACAACAGAAAGGCTGGATGTTAAAAAGCTTCAGTTTCCTAAGAAAGAAGCTAAAACTCCAACCAAGAATGGTCTTTCTGGCTCTCGTCCCAGTTCCCCAGAGAGGGAAGTGGTAAGTTTATGCCACAGGTTTTCACCGATATGTAAACGGAGCTACAGTCCATCCAAGATCTGCGTCAATTGATGTTTTTTTCAGTTTAGATTATATCTCCAAACGTCTCATGTTGGAGTGGTTGTGAAAATGTTTGGGTGGTTTTGAGGAGTCTTTACGTTTTTGCAGCATTGTTGGTTTAAAATGACAGTTTTCTATAATCAAAATGTAACCACATATTTTATTGTTTTCTTTCATTCTGATCAAGAATAATAATAATAAGTGATCGTAGTGTTTCACTAGTTCAGCCCTTCATGTGTTCATGTCCCTGACAGGAGACAACCCTTGTCTTGCAGACAGATGCAGATGTCTTTGCTCTCAGAACCAGGAGTCTGTCTGCAGGGCTGGAGTCACATTAGTTGTTACTGAATATCTCGACTATTCAACACAAAATGTTTTCAGCGGCTCGTGGATTTAAGGCTGCGGCCACAGTTAGAGCCTGTTTCAGTGGTTTGTTAGTGGGTGGGTGCTGAATGAATGTAGGGTTTGATGTAGATGAAGTTTCAGATGTTACGTAAAACAACTGATCCGGTCGTCTTTTCTGTAAAGCCTTCAGGTGTTTGTGTCTTTTCTCGCTCTCACCTCTGAGCTTTGTCCTCGCTCCTCTTTGTCTGTGATTCACCTCCTTGATATCGACAGAGCTCGTTATGTGTTTATAAAACAATAAAACTGCTCCCTCAGCAAATTCTTAATCCACAATGAAGCACGTGTAGTATTTCTGGTCCCAGACATCCAGATCTATAAGCTGTTTATTCAACAGAAATGATTCTCAGACCCAAAAAGTTCATCAAAATATTCCAAGATTATTTTTACTCTTTAATCTACAAAAGTGTTGTCAACCAGAACTATTGGCTGAGTCCTTCTAATGTGTTTTCTGTTGACATCTGTCTGCTCTCTGTGAACAAGCATCACCCCTTAACATGTCTCTGATTTTCTCCTATGAGGTGAGTGAGAGAAGAGAAACAAACACTGATCCAGCTTTGCAGAAGAAACAGGTAATCTAGCAGGATGATGACATAAACATTACTGGAAGAACAGAAATGAAAACGTGATGATTATTATTGACGAAGTCTGAGCATTAACCTAAGGGTCAGTCAGTGTGTCACTTAATGTCCTTCCTTCTCTTCCTTTGTGTTCAGAGGAAGAGTCTAGATCTCAACCCTCAGTCTGCCACAGCTCCTTCCAGAGGCAAAACCCTCCCCACTCCGGTACAAGTTGAATTTACGCATTCTGGAGATTTCTGAGACCTTCTTTAACCTGGTATTAACATGTTTTCTAGGATCAAGCAGCTATCACCTCATGTTTGCAACCAGGAAATAAAGATGTGAGCAGACATGAAGTAAGACGCAACGATGCACATTCACTCATATACAGAGAAACAGGTCATTACAATTAGATTAACCAGTTTCCATGTCCTTTGTTACTACTGTTGTTTTTTATGCTGAGGCTGATGAATTATGCTTCAGTAAGGGTTAAAGGTGTGGAACACTAAAAAAAACATTTTTTAAAGTCTTATTTCTGATTTGAATCGCTCACTCGACATTTTCACATTTGGTCCGGTGTCGGTAGCGTCGGCCTGCTCCCGCGCGGCTAGGCTTTGTTCACATGGGCTTCTCAGGAATGCGGATGTCTCCAAAGTGGGCGGGGCGAAAAGCACACTCAGAAGTTTGTGGATTCTCCTTAAATTAAAAAACAAAGGCAGCTGTGAGCCGTGTTGCCTTTGGAGACTCTGATATGAAGCACTGCTTCCTACTCCCTCACGGAGGCTGCTGACAGATCTACGTCACACTGTCACTTAACTTGACTTCACTCGCGACAGGAAAGGCTGTTGTTGGTTTAGCATCCAGGAAACGGCAGAGAATGTCTTGAGTCGACTAGCAGAAGCTAATCGTTAGCATTAGCAACTCCACCACACAGCAGAACTCCTTCAGACTTGTGTTGTTTGTGGAGATAAAACATCAAATGTTGAAGAGCAAACGGGGTCAGTGGTAGTCGCGTTGCGGCGGTTAGCCACATATCCAAATATCAGGAAAGAAAGTCCAGGTCTTGTCGTCTGAAGCTGTTGGCTGTTTCCCAGTAACCAATTACGCTAATATGACGAGCAGATAAACAAACCTTTGCTCCCACTCCATAAATAATATCAACGCTTTTTCGCGTCCTCTTTTAACATAATTCTGACGCAGAACCAAAGTCCCACTCTTGTTACAACTTTCGTAAACTAAAACCGTTCGTGGGGTGAGAGCTGAAATGACCGTCAGTGCTGCTTATCATTAGGGGCGCCGTAAAGTGGTGAAAGATCAGGAAGATTCTAAGGGCCCACAGCTCTCAGGGGCCCAAAAATGTTTCAAAGTTTAATAAAAAACATGAAGTTTAAAAATCACAAGTACTTTACTTTGCAGTATTTTTTCTCATTTAAGACATTAAACAAACAATATTTTAGTCTTTATGAAATGTATATTTATTCAGAGGTCCCTACTTTATTTTGACTAATTAATTTGACCCCCCCCCCCCCCCCCCCCCCAACGGCATAAAATGGTACAGTCCACCTGGCCAGGGGGCGCATAGCAAGCGGCTAGCTCTCGCAGCAGTCACTCAAGACAGCAGAGTGCGTCAAGGCTGCAGTAAAAATATGTCTGCAAAAACAAAGTCTGGGTCACAGAAAAGGAAAGAAAGAAAGGAGAAAGAGGACAGGCAGAAGAGTCAGTATGTCACACAGTTTTTCTCAAAGAAAGGTGGGTTTAGTTAGTGAGTGGTTAAATTCAACCTGTTAGCGAGCTCTGATATCCACAATGTGAGAAACTATGTTTCATCTAATTATGGTAAATAGGTTGTTCTTGTCCTTATAGAATCAGCAGCTGACATGTCAGCCGGTGTCCCCTCACAACCCAATGAACCTCAAGGTGAGCAATGTAGCATGCTAGCTAGCAGCCTCATTTAAGGGGGTCTGTGGGAATCACTTAAGGCTCTCTTCTCTATCAGTACTATTACAAAGGAATATAAAAAGGCTAATTTTGGTGATGAACACATTGTTTTTCCACATAATGATAATTATAAATATCAATCAGTAAAAATGTATAGATTGTTTTGGATGCTGGGCAGGTTGAAGCATTGTTATTTAGTCTGTTAATGTAAGATAAATTACTGAGATTATTACTGTGAAGTACCTTTTTGAAGGCACCATAAAAGAAAAAAAAACCCTCTTCATCTACTAAATACTTTGAAATGAAATGTTTTGAATCTGACTGAATTATGGGAGGTTTTACAAGATGTAATTTGTTTATGTAGCTTTTAGAACACAAACCAAAAATCAGTCATTTCCAAATAATTCATCAGAGAGCAAAAATGAAACAAAAGCTATTAATAATTGTAATAAATAAACTTAATATAACATTGAACACAATAAAATATGAAATCTAGTATTGATCGTTATCGAGCATTATTAATTATATCACTGTAAATTATAAATCTTGCTGTGTACAATCAAGGCTGAATATATTTTTAGCTGTTTTTGTTTTTGTTGAGAAAAATGGGTTTCTTATATGCGTATTCATGCAAAGTTGTCCAACTTTAAAATTTTATGTAACCCTAACTGACTCCGGTTTGAACTCTGTGCTTATTCATTTTGTGTCTATGATGAAGCCATGGAGACTTAATAAAGAAGTCACCTTGTGAGAAGTGAATCTTTAATTTTTGTCAGTCATACAGAAATACTTGATTTCAAGAGGAAAGACAGCTGAAAATGTAGTTATGTAAAGCTTTGACACAACATGGAAATTTAATATCCAAATTTGAATTTTATGATCAAATAAAATCTTAGAATAAATAAACACATTTTAAGGGAGTAAAAGGGAAAAGGAGATTTACACCTTTCAGCATGTGCATTTCCTGCTTTTTCCAGCAGTGATATTGCTAATTCTGTTGAAGGAAATTCACAGTTTAATATGAGACAGCTGGTGAAAATGATATGTAAATAAGTAAGAATGCATGTAGACGTACATAATTAAGCAAAACTGAAACACTAATATAAAGTATATATATATATTTTTTTTTCTCCCTTCGAATCTGGGAGGGTGGAACCCCAGCTCCAGCTATGGACGAGCCCCCAGGGGGCCCAACTTGATATTTTTTCATGGGGCCCAAAATCTCTGGCAGCCCCCCTGCTTATCAGTGCATTCTGGAGGCCACACTTTTAAAAAACACTCCATTTAACAAAATAATTACACTGAAGTTTCTTTATTTTACCAAACAACCTAGAGGAGGATGACACCAAGCTGTCACAAAGCAGGAGTCATGGCAGACTGACCTGTTGCTGGTCTCGTTTCATTTTGCTGTGCAGCTTTATTTCCATGTTTTTCTACCTTCTCAGTGGTCGCCCTGGGACTGGGAGACCGGGGGTTCAAATCCCGGTCGGATCCCATCAAAGACTAATAATGGGACCCAGTGCCTCTCTGCTTGACACTCAGCTTTAAGGGGTTTTATTGGGGGGATTAAACCACCAAATACTTCCAGAGCACAACCACCGCTGCAGTTCACCACTCCCCACGGGGATGGGCCAAATGCGGAGGTGAATTTCACTAGTGTGTGATGATTATGGGACGATGGATGATTATGGGCTCGGCTCTTTGATGCTGGGCTCATTTTGTTAACTACCACATCTAAAATGCTCCCACGCTGTGCATTTTCCTAACCGCTTCATTTTTAGTCAGTTTATTTGATCATGTGACAAGCTCTTCTGTGGTTTGATAGTGGCGCTCTCGCGTCCTCTGGTGGCACATAATATATTACACCCATGCACAGCAGAAGGATGTGAACTGGCAGTTAACTGGGCAAAACTTTTACCCGGTTACATTAACAGCAATTAACCAGTTAACTATGTACATCTCTAGAATACATATTACTTGTATATTTGGTCCACTTTTGATCGGATTAGATGAAATACCAGCCTATTCTGCTGGTAAATCAAAAGTTTCTTTTTCATCAAAACAGCTATTTAAGGCAATGCTGCTTTTATTTTGATAGTGGGTTAGCTAGTTGGCATTGTGAGGGATGGTGAAGAGTTTGGGGGGAAAAATTTTACAGGTTACACACTAATATTCACAATAACTGATAGGGCTGTGTTAAAAAAATCTATTCTTCTATTCTGAATCGATTCTCAAAAATATTCACGAGGATCGATTCAAACGTCCAAAGATCGATTTAACCCTTTAAGCACCAAAGCTGCTCACTTGCAACAACTGTCATTGCTGACTTTAAAGAGCCACAGCTGCATATATGATCCTTCATGAAGTTACTACTTTACACCAGAAGATAGTGGAGATGTCCATCTTCAGTAAGCTGAGCAACACTTGTGTTCATATTGAAACAGGGTATCAGCAGGTCCTTAAAAAGCATAAAGTCTTAAATTTGCTTTTCCAAATTTAAGGCCTTAAAAATCCTTAAAAATGACAAATAATCCTTAAATACAGTTTCCAAAGGTCTTAAATTACCAAAGACTCAATAAACAAGGTTCTTTTATTTCTATAAACTTTTTGTGAATTTCTAGTTCGTGTTCAGCATGTTTTGTGTATGATATTGGCATAAGTGGAACCATACACATTCAGCTGGTTGTGAAAGGGGACTATTTTCAGATGAGCACATTAGCTGGTTAAGCTAGTGGGAGCTTGCGTCATGGGGAAGTGCAAGTTTAATGGTAACTGGATGGCTAATCCCACGTTCGTGACATGGTTGGCACCGGTTCCAGGCAATAGCTGGAAATTATAGCTTTAATTTAATAATAAAAAAAAGCTTAAATTTGGTCAAAGTGGCCTTAAAAAAAGTCTTAAAAAGTCTTAAATTTGACTCCCTTAAACCTGTGGAAGTTTCTGAGTTTTTCGAGCTTGAAAACCGTTGGGTAGCTCCAGGTTATGGGAGAGAACGAGAGGAGACGACGAACGCAGCACATGGTGGTATATTATAGGGGATAACTTACAAATGCTGACAGGTCTGGTCATTGGTGACTCTCTTTGTCTGGTAATGACCGCCTCCAATTCAGTTGAAGAATATTCACTCATCCAGTCTGAAAGAGTGCTTCACGTGGAGAAAGTGAGGCTAATGGAGCTAAAACGTTCCACATGCTGATTCTAAAGCTTTCTCACCGGGACATGGTGGATGTAGAAAGAATAGTAAAAACACCGCTAATTATGACAGACGTAGCGGGAATGTTGGGAATAAAAGCCATAAAAAAAAACAGCAGACGCGTTTAAAATGGAAGTCAAAGAGTGTCACATAATCAAATGAATTTTCAATGTATCCCAGCCATCTGTGGTCCAGATGGAGACCTTTTCTTGGAGCAAATGACCATTACATTTAAGGGAAGGTCAACCCTAAAGATGTTCAAGCCCAAAAAAATCTGACCAATATTGTTAAAAAGCATTTTTGAGTGAGGCCAATATAAAAAAGTGTGAGTGTGTGTGTGTGTGAGAGAGAGTGTGTGAGAGAGATGCCCTAGGTTCGTGTTCCAATAGCAGTCCACTTGATGCAGTCATTGACACGTCTTCCTTCCACTGTCGACTGTCCTGGATCGGTTTGCTAATTGAGCCTGACGGCATGTTTGAAAAGCACAGTTCTGAGACAGATTTGGCCACACAGCACATGTCAGTAATTTGTTGTTGAATGTTAATAGTGTTAATGTACTACACAACAACATAGGCATGTAATTAAGCTAACAGCAAAAAAAAAAGAAGAGTTCGCTGTTCCAATATATCAGATCAGATCAAATCAAATTGTGATAATCGATTCTAATTCTTGAGAATTGGAATCGAATCGATTCTTGAAATTTGAATCGATACCCAGCTCCAATAACAGACAACGTAATATTTCTTTATTTGTATTTCTAATATAAAACTCTACCATTATGGACTTTCTTCTCTGCTGTTTGGAGTATGTTTGCGATGCAATACATTATGGGATACTTTGCCAGTCCGAGTCTGCAGAAGGGTGCGTTACTGCATCGTTGATGCAATGGGCGGAGCAAGAACACATCCGGGAACTTTGAGTAACTTGCCATGATGCGTACTTAAATTGGAACAGTACTTGGGCCATCGCTGTTGATGTTTCACAAGTAGGCGAGTACACATGCTGAGAAATGACCATTTCAGCTGATTTCTACTTCCTGAGACAGACACACCTGAGCCAAGTATGACTTAAAGGGCATTCATTCCTACTCGAGACCGCTGCCAATACAGTGATTTAAATGAGTGTGCCACACCTTTAAATAACTGTTTGATGTGAGTTTTTACTAACACACAAACTACATCTTAATACCGGGTTTAAATAAGGTTTAACTAACAACAATAATTATCTTAGAAATGACCATCATTTAGACAGTCTGATTTGCTGTGGCTTTAACCAAATTCATTCTCAGCTCAGTCAGTGCACTAGCACTAGTGTCCGTGCACTGACTGCTGGTGAAACACCAGTCAGTGTTAAACCTCTCCAAACCCAGCTTTAGCTCTGTTGTACCTCTGCTCAGGCTGAGTGAGCTGCAGCTCTAACCTCTTGTGTTTGTTGTAGAAGAGGAAGGCGGAGACGGTTCCCGTGGCGACTCAGGTGCCCCCGGCCCCTCCCGTTCCGTCTCTACCGAGTTCGACTGAAGCCTCTCAGGCGGCGGTTTTCCCTGCGGTGCGAGAAGCCACCACCCCCACCTTAAACACCTTTAAGGCCAGAGAAGACCATGAGCAGTTGTCCTCTCTCACCACGGTGAATAAAACACTCTGAAGCTCTTTTATGTGTTTATTTGTTGTTCATGAACAGCGTCTCGTTCCTCCCCAGCAGCAGAATGGCACTGCCCGGCGCCTCATCCCCCCCCAGCCTGGGAGGAAGAGGAAAGCTAACTGTGAGGGGGCCAACGAGGTAAAATCTATCAGACTGTAGAAACGGTGATCTAACGCACTAATCTACCGTTTACTTCTATCTTCTTTCTCCACACAGCCACTCTGGTTGTTGTCTGCATATTTTATTCTTTGTTGTTTCATCTGTAGGATCATTTATGAAATGTTTGGGAAACCTCCATTTTCTGGATAGGAGAATGTTTTACTTTGGGGGGTTTATCCCACCAGAAAGGGATTTTCTTTTCTTTTGACAGCATTTTAAATGGTAAAAGGGTAGATCATTAAGGCAATTGCGGTCAGCTCGGCCTGGGCCGGGTAGGGACAGTGACAGGCTGTTAGTAGCTATGTTAAACGGGCACAAGTAATTGGAACGAACGCCCAATCAGATCAAAAATTCTTCATGTAAACATATCAGTAAGAATATTCTGATCCGAAACGGCCCGATTCAAACAAAATTTCATTCCGATAGACTGGGGTAGTTTTGTCCGATCATCATTCCGATTGACGTCCATGTACACATTCATTCGGATTGTTGCAGTAACGTAATGCCCACTGCGCATGTGTGCAACATAGTCTTAGCCAGCGAGCCTCCCCGCCATCATTTGGATGGCCTGACTTAAAAAGTAGCGGCCTAATTAATGAGCGACGGCTTTTAATATCGATGGCAAGCTGTCCTCGTTTGAGTAATATCTAATCTAGAATTTGCGCTTGGTGGAAGTAAAATGAAAATCTGATTATTGTACAAATCATTCAACAAGCGTGTCCCAGTCTGTAGCTACTGGAAATACGCAGGTTCATTGTGGGGTTTGCAGCACAGATCCCCGTTTCTGTCAGCTGTGAATGCAGCAGCTGTTTCTGCACCAGGTGGAAAGAAGACAGGGTAACATTGCAGACCTGCCAACCTGTACGAATTTTGCATAGTTAGTGCGCAGTTTGGTATCTATTTACGCTGGTACGACTCACCCCTCTAAACTACGCAAAAAGCTGTGGATACGTGAGTTGAGTTCTGTGGCAAATATGCACGTGTGGTACTCATGTCTGACAACATGACTCAGTGGCGTGGTGAAGAAGTTTAAGCCAATCATCATTGAAAAGCAGAGAAAAAACAGCTAACTATCCTGCCTAACCTAGCATAACACCCCCGCCCCCCTCCTCCCTGCTTCGTCCTGCCCGCTGCTCCTCTCTCCCTCCGGTTCACCACTCGCTGCTGTTCTGGCAAGGTAATTGTGTGTGTGTGTGTGTGTGTGTGTGTGTGTGTGTGTAGGTGTGTGTGTGTGTAGGTGTGTGTGTGTGTGTGTGTGTGCCTTTATCCATTGCATATAGATTTGGCCTGTATATAAGGAGGAATGTGATTATACAGTTTAAACATGCAGCCATTATTTTTTTGCAGCTCGTTTTGCAACTCATGCTATGGCAGATGAGGGAGAAGCAGACAGGGAGGGATTGTTTAGCAGACCTGCCAAAAAGAGGGTCCATGTTTCTCAGAAGATTTTGTCCAAATATCAAGAACAGTGGCCATGCTTGCGACCCTCTAAACAACCTCACCATGCATTTTGCACAATCTTCAATTATGATGTGGACATAAGCCACCAGGGGGCTGCAGGTAATTAGTAAATTAGCCCTGGTGTTGTTTGCATATTTGCTTTAATGTAACTTTATTGAACAGAAACATCTATTGCAATTTACAAAATAAATAATTACCATTAAATAAATGTTTTTTTATTAATTTGTATTGAAATAATGTAATGCAAGTAACTTGTATAAGCACATATTATATAAGGAAACTTTAGAGTTTTACAGTTTAATATTAAAATACATGATACTTCAGTCAAACTGGTCAGGTCAAACTGTAAAAATGTCTATAACCTTACCAGTCAAAATAAGAACTGTGGGTGTGTGTGTGTGGTAAAATTTTCCATCCAGTGAATGGGGAGATTACAGCGTGAAAAGCAATGGAGTTGCAAAAGTCCGCGAAAAAACGCAGCACAAGTGGTACTCGAAAATTTTTGACAAGGTTGGCAGGTCTGACATTGGTTAAACAGACCTGCTTTTAAGGAGGCTGCTGAATAGAAAACTTCATCAGTTAAATATTCTGGGTGACAGTAAAGTCCAATCTGTGTTAATAGCTCATTAACACAGATGAGATGCGGTTTGTTTATGAACACATGATGAACATGGGCTTCCAAACTTTACGAACATCTCCTGTTATTTAGTTTGAACCAAATTTTCTCAACTGTTTCAGCTGATTGTCACATTTTATGTGTAATAAGCCACAACAGAGCTCAGTAATAAAACATGAGTCTGAACCCCCCCCCCACCCCCACCCCACACACACACACAGCGTCGCGTCAGACCCGCGGACCAGCTGATCAGGAGGCAGAGACGAGGAAAACCCTTATTTTATTATTGTCAACAATAAAACGCAGCAAAGCATAAACAACCTCTATGAGTAAAATGAAAATGTTAAATTGATTAAATTAACCAGGAAAGCGGGAAGAATTGTTATTTGTGATTTAACATTTTTCATTTTGTTGCATGCCATTTAAAAACAAATTTCTGGGATATTTGATATTTGCTAAAAGAAACCTTTTCGTTTGGGATATATTCAGGCTTTGTCATGTAGCTAGTTATATTTATCTTGTTTAACTGGAGCATAGGACATAGCATTAACAATTGTAAACTAGTAACAGCTGTAATTCATGTGGGTCAGGTTAGTTTGCGATAAAGTTAAAAAACAAAAACAGAAGAAGTCAGTGGGCTAGGCTGAGTTTGCGTGAGTGGGCGGGGTTGACTCTGGTGCAGCTCCACCTTTGCAGTTCTGCAGCGAGCACCCTCTGGTCGGCTCCACGTGAATAACGATGTAAACGCAATGGCCCCACCCAGCCCAGACCAAGCTGACCCCCCAAAAGACTCCTCCTGGATGATGTCACTCTTACCTGAACAGCTCACCTGTCTGTAGCGGACCTCCAGGAGGTTCTTCATGTTTTAACCCTAACCCCACATAAAAATACATTTTCCACTTTACTGTTTATGATTGTCAGATTACGGTGGTTTTGTCACAATCCATCCCTGTAATGTTCTAAAACCTTTATACTAACGTTTAATTCTCTCATTTAACCTGAAACCAACATTTTCAGTTTATCATTTTATTCCTTCCCCTAGTTTCCAAACCCTCTGTTTTTGTGTCTTTTTCTTCTAGATGATTAAGGTTTTGCAATATAACAAGCCTCAAAGTGCCAGTGTGTTCCTACCACCACCAGAGGTGTGTTCCACTTGATGTTTTTGCCTGTTGTGAGTGTGTTTGTGTCCAAATTTGGTGCCATAGTGGTAAAACCTCTCCATTCCTCCTGGTAGTACTTCCAGGATCATTAGGTGTTTAAAGTGATGTATATCTGATGTGATTAACCTCCACCAGGACTCTCAGGACAGTTCTGATGGCATCCCAACAGCTCCCCGCATGACGGGCAGTTTGGTGTCTGATCGCAGCCACGACGATATCGTCACCCGGATGAAAAATATAGAGTGTATCGAGTTGGGACGGCACAGACTGAAGCCCTGGTACTTCTCCCCGTACCCACAGGAGCTCACCACGCTGCCCATCCTCTACCTCTGTGAATTCTGTCTCAAATACGTCAAAAGCCTCAAGTGTCTCCAGAGGCATCTGGTAAGAATTGCTTCAGTCACATTATCCTCGTGGCTTTGTGTTGCTCAGAGAGTCAAAAGTAAAGGTGGCTCATACAAAATGTCAGGTAGGCATATCAGCTGTAGCTGTTAGGAATGTTCAGCCGAATCGTGTTTCGGCTCGCTGAGCTGGGAAGGGAATTCTTATGTGGGTCTGCTCCTTTACTGTATTTCTCTCTTTTCTTCCAGACCAAATGTAATTTAAGACATCCTCCAGGAAACGAGATCTACCGCAAAGGCACCATCTCCTTCTTTGAGATTGATGGCAGGAAAAACAAAGTAATTAATGAAAATCTTTTCTCCTCGTTTTCTTCTTTCAGTTTTTGGTTCAAACATGGACTTCATGTCTTTCAGAATTATTCCCAGAACCTGTGTTTACTTGCAAAGTGTTTTCTGGACCACAAAACGTTGTATTACGACACAGACCCTTTCCTCTTCTACGTCATGACGGAGTACGATTCTAAAGGCTTCCACATAGTGGGCTACTTCTCAAAGGTACCAGAGGGATGACAGCTCACCTGGATCCAGTTCTGTGGCCATAGTCCATCTTTCTGTTTTCTGTTTGCAGGAAAAAGAGTCGACTGAAGATTATAACGTGGCTTGCATCCTGACCTTACCTCCCTACCAACGCAGAGGTTATGGAAAGCTGCTGATTGAGTTCAGTAAGTCATCACGCCGTCAGGAGGACTCTGCCTACTTCAGCTTCTTGACATTTCTGTTGGTTTTATGTGCGGTGGTGTTCAGGCTACGAGTTATCGAAGGTGGAGGGGAAGACGGGAACTCCCGAGAAGCCTCTGTCTGACCTGGGACTCTTGTCTTATCGCTCTTACTGGTCCCAGACTATCCTGGAAATCCTCATGGACCTTAAACCTGAAAATGGAGAAAGGCCACAGATCACCATCAAGTAAGGCCATTTTTATTTCAGCCTTGGTTCAGAGTCTGGTTCATCTGAACTGAAATCTAACAGTTTGTTTTGCTCAGTGAGATTAGTGAAATCACAAGTGTGAAGAAGGAAGACGTTATTTCAACACTTCAGTATCTTAACCTCATCAACTATTACAAGGTGAGACTCACGTCGGCTTCAGAAGAAGTTTAACCAACAAAATTCTCACTACAATATGGCTCCTTGTCTTGTACTCTTAAAGCCACACCATGCTACTTTTTAATATTCTTAGATCTTTTTCTTGAGCCAGTATGTGCTATAAGGACTCTTTACAGGGTTAATGAATCGTCACTCACCGCTCTCTGTGGCCAGAGTACTGCACTTGCAACTTCAGAGTGTCCGGTCCCTGTTAAAAGTGGCGCTGGCATGCTTGGAGTCTGCTTCCAGCACGTTTTAGATCATGAACACAGCAGATTTGTTATAATTTAGTGATGAATCACTCCTGTAGAAGCTAATGATGGCTGAGAAGACATTTCAGCTGTTAGATTAAGGTGTTAAAAAGATGAACGTACAGCGAGATCTGTTTCAACAGAACACTGGGGGGTGCTAAAAGCAAGCCAAAACTGCCCAGCGTCCCTTTAATCCAAAGACTAATAGTAATGACTTAATATTGGTATAAGAGGTCAATTAGTCATTAATAATGTTCTTTAGCATTTAAAGTGTTTTTAAATGTGATTCTTTGTATATTTGAAACTAAACATGTAGTTCTGTTCAGCTGCACCACAGTCATTAGGTTTAAAGTTGAGGATAATCCCATCATAACTCATATCAACAACTTTGTGATTTAAAATACAAAAAGAATGTGTTCTTAGTTTTTGTGGATAACTCTGAGATTGAGATAAATTGGTTGTGATTCTAGGGTCAGTACATCCTCACCCTCTCAGAGGACATTGTGGAGGGACACGAGAAAGCCATGCAGAAGAGGCATCTTCGTATCGACCCTAAATGTCTCCACTTCACTCCCAAGGACTGGAGCAAAAGAGGGAAGTGGTGAAAGGCCCTCAGGCGGGGACACCCGGACCCAAACCTTTGTGTCGTCTCAGTGGACTTGAGCTGGACCCAGGGCTGCTCCCCACTTTCAAACGTGAACACTTGAGATGAATAAGCTTTTATTAAGGACATGTTTTGATTATTGTGAATTTAAATCTGGAAAACTGAAAATACACACAACACTATTGTTGATGACCAACAGTGTTGGGAAATGACTGAAGCGTCTATTGAAAAGTGTCAAATTAAAAGCCTGATGACAAACGTCCTAAAAGGGGATTTTATAGTTTTAATGTCTAGTGAATCATTTTCTTTTGGCTACTATACCTTTTGTACAAATTGTTAAATGCTTATTTGTTTTTAGCAACAAAACCTATTTTAACCATAACTTCTGAATATTTTAAATGGAAAAGTTCATTTAAAATGTAAGTATTTGCTAAAATAATGTGTGACATTAGTCAACAAAACCCTTTTGAGTCTGTTCAGCAATGCACCCAAATTCACTTCATTTACCTGTAATGGAAAATGTTGACCTCACTGTCAGCTGTGTAATTAACCCTTCATGTTTTTCTCCCCTCTGGAAACAACTGATGCTTGTTGATTTACGATTAAAGTCACTTTTCCTCTGCTGTGACCGTTATAGAAACGGAATAATGAAGAACAGGTTTAATTTCATTTTACGCTTCTTAGGAAGTTAAATTATTTTCCTTTTGCTGCATTTAGTGTCAACATATCAGTAAAAATAGGTTTCTTGTAATAATATTGAATAATCATATGCACAGCTACGTTTACCCCTTTGGCAGGAGTGTGGAAACAGTTCATTCAGATGGGTTTCTTGTTTTGAACTACATTATATATATTTTTTGTGATAAATGATTCTCCCCCAGCTGAACAAGTGCTTTTAAACCGTAAATACAGATGTGCTCAGCTGGTAGAGGAATGTAACTCAACTGTACAGCTTTTTTATTTAAGTATTTGTTTGTCTGCACAAGATAAACTAAAAGTAATATTTGTTTTATGTTAACGTGTTTAATTTGCCCTGTTAAAATTATTTCATATCTATGTAAAATATTTGTTTCTTCAACGTTTGATATTTAAAAAGAAAAAGTTGAACTCATGAAAAACATCTGAGTGTCTGATGTGTGTCCCACAGAGTTTATTTAGCCACTAGGGGGCAGTGTCCCTCCGTGGGGCCTGGGGCCCTGCTGTCGCCCACGGCGCCGACCCGGATGACCAGCTGGATGGAAACCAAGCTGTTACTACAGCGTTTACATACATATATACAAACCTGCTGTTTCTCCAAAAATCTGCAATAAAATATTGATGTATTTGTTCTGGTCATAGTTGACCCTTTAGTAGAGTATGAGGAGACTTCGCTGTCCTCTTAGCATTTTGGAGAAACTAATTCCTGAATGTGACGTTTTTCCTGGAAACGTGTTTTACTGGATTTTCCCCAAAAATCTACAGTAAAAGTATAACTTATTTGCTCTGGAAGTCTTGTGGAAAAGTAGAAGGTAAGTAAACATTTTTGTTCTCACTTCCTATCCATTGGGCCAATGCTCTATTACCGTAATGCACTGACGTATGTGCAAAGCTAATCTTGATAATAGCTCCAGCGTCGGCCGACTTGAGAGGGTGGTCTGCTCTGGGCGTCTCTGCTGCGGCCGCTGCTCTTGACCCGGATTGTAAGAACAGGGAAAGAGCCGGTATAATGTTAAGACAGATGTAATTTGTTATTACAGTGTAAACTGAATTACAGGTCAAAGGGCTCGAGGGATGCTTGTTTTCTGCAGTGTAAAAGGTAATTGTCCAGCTAGAACAACTGGAGTAAACTATTCGATCAGACAAAGGTAGTAATGAGTATGTTTTATGTGACCTGCTAAGACTTTAGCTTGTTTTTCTGAAGGATTCACTTACCACAGGGCTTGGTTAACCCCCACCCCCCGGCGTGTGTGTGTGTGTGTGTGTTTTACTCATCTAGTCTGACTCCTTCAGCTCCACTTCACACCAGTGTTCTTCATTAAGAGCCTCTCCAGTGTACAAGAACAAAAATATGTTTTTGTTTGTTGCTATTTTTTCAGTTTCCGCTCATCAGTCCTACAAAATTATGTAATTTTTTATATCTAACTTGAGATATTTCTCATATGGGGATGATGTCATAAAATCTTTTTCATTTAAACTTGGTATTAAAAATTAAATGTTTTGAAACAATTAGTTGATTAAAGAAGCACACGTGGGCAGGAAAATTTCTCTAAAGATCTCTGCGTGTGCGTGTGTGTGTGTGTGTGTGTGTGTGTGTGTGTGTGTGTGTGTGTGTGTGTGTGTGTGTGTGTGTGTGTGTGTGTGCGTGCGTGCGCGCGCGCACTTGTCTTTATGGGTTTGTATGGACCAACCCCTGACGGGAGACCAACATTGTGTGGACATTCACCATTGTGTGGACATTTACCCGGTCCACACAACCAAAATCCTAGAGGAAGCTTCCTTTGTCCCACCTTGAGTTAAACATAATTTTTGCACCATTCTGGCTATAGTGGAAGCCAGGGTCCGGACAAACAACTCAGCAAACGTAGTCCACACAAACCCATAAAAACACGTATGTGTGTGTGTGTGTGTGTGTATCATCCATCTTCTGTAGCGCTTATCCACGCAGGGTCGTGGGGGGGAAGACACACAGGACAAACAATCAAGCAAACACACTCACACCAAAGGACAATTTAGAGAGCCAAATTAACCAGACATCCATGTTTTTGGACTGTGGGAGGAAGTTGGAGCTGAAGAGAACCCACCTGTGCACAGGGAGAACGTGCAAAATCCTGCAGAAAGACCTCAGGCTGGGATGTGAACGCAGGACCTTCATGCTGCAAGGCAACAGCTCTTAACTATTGCACCACTGTGCAGCCCTGTGTGTGTATATTTGTGTGTATGTAACTATATTTGTGTATGTGTAACTAAGATCTGTGTGTGTGTGTGTGTGTGTGTGTGTGTGTGTGTGTGTGTGCAGTTAGATCTATGTATGTGTAAGTCTTGATTTGTGACTTGTGTTTACATTTTTGTGTGTAACATCAGCTCCTACACATACAAATTATTGAATACACACACAAATCACCTGGTACACAGTCTTTTGAGGCTCTTTTCTCACCTGACTGATTTGAGCATATATGATGCATTTGAATGCTGGGTGGAAGAAATCTAAGCACACACACACACACACACATCTTTTGAGACTTTTTCTCCCCATATAGTTTTACAGCTGATTAAATGTTTAAGACTTCTGCGACCACCAGTAAACAAAACAAAAATCCAGACTCCAAACATGAGCTCAGTAATGAGTGGCTCCAACATTTCAAACATCTGTAGCTGCATGCTGGATGTGAGCGATCCCATGAGGTGTGTGGTGACATGTCTCCATGCGGTGAAAACGATGCACGAAGGGAATCTACTGTCTGTAACTGGAGTCCATTTTTGTAAACGTCCCTAGCCATCCATTTCCAAAGGTTCTCTATTGGATTTACATCAGGGGAACATGCAGAATGGTCCAAAAGATGGCGTGATTCTAATGGAAGAGGTCCCTTGTCCTGCAGGTGTTGCAAACAGGGATAGCAGTAGCTCAGGAGGTAGAGCGAGTTGTCCGGTATTCAAAAGGTTGCAGGTTTGATCCCCGGCTCCTGTCAGAGAATTCAGCTGTTGTGTCCTTAACCTGCCTTACTGGTTGAGGTCAGAGGGATCGGTGGAGCCAATGTTTGGCAGTCTCACTTCTGTCAGTGTTCCCCAGGGCAGCTGTGGCCACATAGCTCATCATCACCAGCGTATGACTGTGATAGTGGATGACTGGTGGTTTTGTAAAGTATCTTGGGGGGTTGTAGAACCCTAAGAAGGAGCTATACAAATAAAGGCCATTTACTGTAGTTTTGTCCGCTGTGGCGCCCCCTCCGCTGTGGCACATTAAAAAACATCTGAGCTGGCATCTGCTTCCCATGCCACAGGAAACCATCAGAACCATCAACGTTACATTTCTTCTCGTTAGAGAATAAAACCTTCTTCCAACTTTCTTTCATTGCCCCATGTTTGGTGCTCTCATGCTAAGTCCGAATGGTCGATTCTGTGGCGTCCAAAGAGATGAGGCTTCACAATGTTTTTTTGTTTCTGAAGCCCTTTAGTCCCAGATGACGTCTGATGGTTATGGGGCTGCAGCTGGCACCAGTAACAGCCTGACCTGCTGTTTTGATAAACAGCCAATTGGATCCTCCGGCTCAGTGCCGGTGAAACCTTTTTGGGTCTTTCACTTGACTTTGTTGTTCCATAACCCTCAGGATCCTTTAGGGACTTCCTAAAGACAGTCCTTATTTGGTCACCTCAGCAGCGATGGCGCACTGAGAGAGACCCTGCCATAGAGAACGTTTTTGCTTTGGGCATCAGAACACCTCCGTAGTGTGACTTCCTGACCACGAATCCTCATCTTTGGACAGATTTGATCTTTTAAGGGCATGTGTCCTTACACTTTTGATCAGCTCTAAAACAGCCAGTTTCAGTTGAAGTTTGCTGCTTAGAAAACCTTCAGTCTCACTCCCACATCCTCTTGTTGCATTTTGAAGCTCTACTTGGACCCTAGTTAAGATTCCACCATGTGAAACTGTGTTTTAAACTTTTGATCGGGGCTGCATCAGTTCTTCCACTCAGGCAGTTTGAGGATTTTGAATCTCCACATGGTGTCACTGTAGCTCTGAGTGCTGTTGTACGTTATCCTGCAGAAACCACAGACAGCTGATTACCACTGTCCTGTTTACAGGCCGGTGTCTATGAGGAAGGAAGAAGTAAAACTATTAAAGAGGCTTGTTTTATTTGGTCAAATTGATCATTTCTTGTGGAAAAATGAATAAATTTAGGATTTCTTCTCCTGCAGGCTGTGAAGAGTAAAATTGACCATTTCTGCATAAAAGAGCGAAGTCCTCGCCAACCAAAGAGGTACGCTTGTTTTTTGTTTTTTCAAGAAAACTGTTTAAACGTCTATCATCTCCAGCCTGTGTTTTTATTTGTCTTATCTTCATGAGACACACACAGGCCTCTCCTCCGTCCCTGCCCCCAACCTTAGGCCTGAGCTGTTGACCTCATAACACACACACACACACACACACACACACACACACAACCATATGTCATGGCCGGGACAAAACTCCACGCTGTAATTAGGGGGATGGTTCCTGAGTATGGGAGCAGCATGATTCATCATCTCCTCTCCTGAGCATCATCAAAAGGGGTTTGCACAAATTTGCAGGTATGTGGGTTTCTTCGGGACTGGTTCTGTCTCACAAACGTCTCCGCTCTGGAGCATCCTTACCTCAGACCACACAGACTGTACATCCAGGAATAACACAGCAAGGTCGTAACTAATAAACACACTGCCACACTTCTCACCATTGCCCTAACCCTAAACCCATGTCCAAAGAAGGAGTCTTTCTGATTATTCCTACCATCTGTGAGTGAGCACCAGGAAGGTGGGTGAAAGATAGGATCAGGTGTTGCATCAGCAATTTAGGATTTTGAGCTTCAGAGGTGTAAGCCTCACGTGGTTGCTGCGGTCTGTCCGTCTCTGCCTTCACCTCCCTCTGACAAGGAGACGAGGAGGGAGGGAGGAGAAAGAGGGGGCTGGCTTTAGTGTGATGTGAATGGAATAGATTCAGCGCGAGAGGGAGAGAAAGAGGGAGGAGGGCAGCACAAATCAACCTGCCTCTTGACTTCAGCAACAGTAACACACGAGCTGCTGCTGCTGCGGACACACAGACCGGGAAGTGCGGTTGTATTATATTTTTGGAGAACGAGAGACCGAGAGCGAGGGGGGAGTGACAGAGGACATCAGCCGGGAGGAACTGCTAGAGGAGGAGGAGGAAGGGAAAGAAAGAAAGAGAGCCTCGCCGTGGAGATAGATAGCAGAAAAATGCTGCCATGGGGAGAAGAGGGGAGGGAGTCGACAGAGAGGAACAGGATGAGACCAGGCAGGGTCGAGCTGGACTG